CTGAAAAATATGTGAAATCAATATTGATGATGGTCCTGTTGTTATTCATTGTCACTGTTCTTGCTCATGGGTTAGTCTAAACTCAGTTCCTTGCTGGTAATTATATTAATATGAAATATTTGATTCCCTCTTATGCCATGCTTGCTATCCACCTGAAATGGAGACAAGGGAAAATATTTAGTAATGTCATATTTGGTGTTTGTTTTATGGTGATGTTGTATCTGCTCAAAAAGCAGAAAATACATCTTCCAAGCTTAATTACAGTTATTTACTTTTTTTTCTTTTTTGGAGACAAGAGCATTCATATCTTAGGAAGAAAACAAATTACAGTATAATTGCATTTACTGAGAAATTACTCGTTGATGTAGGATTTCATTTGAAAGTATTTCTTCTCTCCATTTGGATGTAGCGTCCACCCAGTATATCTGCATGAAGTAAGTAGATATGATTGTCCGATATAGAGTTAGCAAAGACATTCAGGGGTTAATGCTTTGTCAGTAGAATGAGCACTCAGTGTGACTTACTTTAGGCAAATGATTTAAAAGTCTAGCAACCCTCCATCTTCTCGAATGACTGCTTTTAAGTGCATTTCTTCCCACTCTCCACCATACATAGGTCCTGTTTTTCTGAGGAGCATGAGATAAATATGGTTGCATTCAATAGCATTTATAAGAAGAGGTAGCTTTCAATTATTTATTTACTTTTAACAGAAGAGGCCTTTTAATTAGTGTTTAAATATTTATAACAGTTTTATTGTGCTGTAAAATCGGTTATACTTTGATCTAGATTTTCTGGTTTGAGATAATAGGGTTGGTAAAAGTTTTCCTAATGAATTTGGTCAGAACATGACATAATCTGATTATCTGATGAAAGATTGACACTTCAGTTCCTGCCAGCATAAAAGTGCGGTACAATAGGGGGCTGTTCAGTATACATTCAAAGGCTGGGAGTTCAAGTTCAGGTACTGCGGTATTGTTCAAAGTTTCAAATTAAGGCGGTGAAACAGTTTTGCATTTTTCACTCCATTTTTGGTCAGGGGTATTTTATCGTGGATGAGAGGAGTGAAGCTTGAAGTTACATGTGTAAACTATGTAACTCTATTCTGTAACTTTGGTTTTATTTCTCTCCATTTGCTAAATAGTAGATCTTGTCTCTCCTTAAAACAGAAACTAACTGGTTAGAACATAACAGACATTGGAAACAGTCAGTACTAGAAACTGGGAGTTAAACATCATCAGTCTTCAACCACTATTAAATGCAGGACCAGCTTTTTATTAATATCCCTCACATTTTAATAATTTAACTGTTTAACATATGATTACTTTTATCTCAGAGCCCTGGAAATGAGCGTATTTAACTAGTGCATCCTGTGTTCTTATGCAAAATTAGTATAGACTTCTGTGATGAAATTGGCATGAAAGAACAATTGTGGGTTTGTATCTAAAGTGTAAACTTAGCCTAAACTGTTAAAATAAACTCTTTTTTTTTTTTTTTTAATTTGATATTCAGGTAATATTTGCCTTGTAAATGTCATTCCTGTTTGCACTGGAATTATAGTGATCCTTATTAGATTTCTTGGACTAATTTGCTCTCCAGTAACTTGGTTTATCCAAATCTTGTGCCACATTAGGTGGGAATGCTAATAGACAAATGCCACATACTATTAGTAATTAAGCTTGAATTTTGGGGGATATTTCACAGCACAAAAATATTTTATAATCTGTAACTGTGGCTCATATATTTAAAAGTGCTGTACATAACACTAAGTCTTCCCTTTTTTTAAATAATGAATGGGTTCTTGGAGAAAGTAAAATGTATGTACCAAATGGTATGGTCTTTACTGAAATGCAGTTGCTTCTGACCTTGGTGGTTCACTTGAATAAGGATTTAAAGCTTTAGCTTAATGAATTGATGCAGATTAAAATACTGACTTCATTGCTTTATTTCTTAAAATATTATATGTCATGTGAATTTCACTGGCCGTGGGAAGGGACTCTGTGCGTGGAGTCAGTGAGTGGAGTTTTAACCCTAGTTCTAGGGGCCGTGCCACCTTGGGAGGTCATTTCCTGTCCCTGCCTCAGTTTCTCCATCTACAAAGAATGATCCATAATAATGCTGGTCCCAGAGACGTGCTGTAGTTTACACAGAAGCAGAAACCTTCCAAAGAGAAAATACTTTGACATACGGGTGTCATGAATGAATCCTGCAAACCCATCCTCTTTTGAGCAGTCTCACCAATATCATGTAGCAGTTTGGACAGGTATAGATCAGATCCAAAATGTGGAATTTGAAACATGAGCTGGACACAAATAGGAATTGCCCTCGGCTATTTACTATTCCTTCTATGTTTATGTCAGTTTATCCCATTTGCTATTTACAATTTCAAAGTATATTTTTTAACTGTTATGAAACAAATGTGGAGAATATAAACATGGGGGCTGGAAAACAGGTACAATATTCTGATACAAATGTATCTCCCACTATGGCAATGCTGGTAAAGTACTTTGCCTGCTCAGTTAAGTGCAGAATTATTTTTTTTTTCTTTTAACAAATATGCATTTTGTGAACATATTTAATACTTGTCTTTTTAATTCTATGAGATGCAAATTGCGTGATTAAAGTAAAGGGAAATAATTTGGAAAGCACAGTCAGAGCTCAACTTGCAGTGCATTTTAATTTAATTGCCTACCTCTGCAAGGCGTCTCAGATTGGTAAGGCATATACAATGGGGGGTTATTTCATAAGCAGAAGAAAGCATAAAGCCAGGAATACAAGCAGAAGTTTTAAAAGTATACGAAAAGTAGATTGCTTCATTGTGTCTTCATAAGAGTCACTACACAGTATCTCCTCCCACCAAATGTGCAAGAACAGTGTATTTCAGGAATATTCATATTCAAAGAAACTTGAGGACTTCTGACTGTAAATGACGGTCATTTTTACTTCAAGTATGGCCAAAGCAAAATAAAATACAACATTCTGTGTGTGATAAAATACTTATATATATTTATTTTATCAGTTTAATCCTAATATAGTATTTATAGAGTAAGAAGAGAATTTAAATACTTTTGTTTTAGTTGAATCTGAGGTAACTTGATGCAGAATTAAAACATAGTGTCTTGTAAAACTTACTGAGATACCAAAATGAACGTAATTTTAAGATAAGTATACAAATGGAATTTGGTCTCTTTCTCCCTCTTGTTGACTCTATCAGGCCAGATCCTGAGCAGAGCTCAATGTCAATGGAAACAACTCAGTTTCTAGCAGCTCTGGACATGGTCCTGTACATCAGGAATCAATTGATAAGTCATTGTGTGATCTATTTCAGAATTTCCTATAGGTTATATTTTTATTATGTAATATCATGTTACCTTTACTGTTCCTTAATACTAAATACTCTTAAGTTATATTTCACACTTTGAAGAGAAGAGTATAGAAGACAAAGTGCCATCCAATTTGTACTGTGTTTCATGTTCCTATGCCCTGTGGGAGGAAAAGAAAAGTAATAGAACAGACAAATAAATAAACGTGGTGTTGAAATTGGCATGACAGTTTCTGCTCTTGCACAACAGAACTGCAATCAATTTATTGTCTTCATTGGTCAAATGCCAGAATAACAGCATAATATTATATAAGAGTAGATTAATTAAAGTGTAATTAGAATGGAATAAATTAAATAATCATAAAAGTTTGTCATGGGAAAAATATGTGCTTAGAATTAATTAGTTTTCAAATAAAGTGATATTTTAATTGCTCAGAGTTACAGAATCCTTAATTGCAGACATATAATTCTGGCCCAAGAGCTTCAGTTGCTGTAACAACTTGATATATTTCTTCTCTGTCAATTCTTTTTAATAGTTTGTTACTAAACAACATTATTGCAGGAAATGTCTGCTAAAATGTCTGAAAGATGTTTAATTAAGCCCGTGCTATCTGAGGACATTATTAGCTCTTGGCACCAAAAGATTTGTAGCTGATGCTGCACTATGCAGCACCCCTAATTAAGGAGGATGGGCAGACAGAGCCCCGTGGCTGACAGGTTGCTATGCATGGCTGAACTAGGGGCTACTCAAAACAATCTTTTGATGGTCCTTGGCTTATTAATTTTCTGCTAGATTACAATGATATATCAAGTGTACAAACTTAAATTCATTTTGGGTCTGATGGTATGGTATAGCGAGACAGTTGTAGAAATGCTTCTTTTCACTTATATTGTGCATTTTCTTATTCTTCAAGTTTTCAAAGCGATTAGGCATTTGGTCTTTTTGGTGTTTGTTTTTTTTTTTGTGTTTTTTTTTTGTTTGGTTGGTTGGATTTTTTTTGCATTAATTTTATGGAGAGTGTGTTGCAGAGCTAAACTACTGTGGACTTTTATGCGGGCTTTCTTCGAACAAGGCTCTATGTAGTTATATCGCTGCAATTTACTAAGCAATTAATGGTTTCAGAAAGTAAAACAGATGGGTGTCTTTTCCCTCATCTGCAAAATGAGCCTGTTCATGAAACTCTAGAATTTCATCTCTTTCAGCTGTATTTCATGCTGTATTTTAGACTCCCCTATTAAAAGCTAGTGTAATGGCATGTAAAGCAGGGGTTCTCATGTTTTCAGACCCCATATTTTGGCATAAACATATCCATGATATTTGGCTGTCTCTGAAATGTTTACTTCAGTAAGATTTGCAATGCCCAAAATGTTTAACTGTGTTAAAAAAGGTCAACCAGCTGATAGCTGAAGGCGAATATGTCAGAATGAAAGACTGAAAAAAAATTATCAGTCCGACACAGTGGGAGTATTAGAATGATTAATGTTTATGTTAATTTATGGCTTTTACATATTGATTAATAGCTTTTTGTTTCAGTGACCAAAATGTGTAAGTGGCAATGAGATCCATATGCTAACTCAGTGTCTCTCAAATAATTACAGTCATTCCTAGTTTTGTTCCCATGCTGAATCTGTGTTTTCATATAGAAAATAATTACTTTAGTGACTTTTTTAAAAATTGCAGATGGAAGTATTTGAAGGTGAACCTCAAGACACAAGCCTGGGTTGCAGTATTCCTGAAGGTTACACGGTGACATATATATACATTTTTCTTGCAAACTTCATTACTTAAAATTGTAATATATTGTGGTTTAGCCTCATTCAGTTAGGGGATGCTTAGAGACAAAAAAAAAGGTGCTAACAATGTGAGGAGCCATTATCTGACTGGAAATCACTAAAAATGTGTTGCATTGCATGATGGTTATTAGTCATTTTCTTCTCTGCTCCCATAAGATTTCTAGGCATATCACCAATTGCTGATAAGTAATTTTGTTTGCTATCTGTCCATTGACTGTTACAGTTAAAATGTGGAAACTTCCATCATTCATTGCCTAAATGTCAGGAGAGAAGGTAATTTTGGGGAGCTCCTGAGAGAGGATGAACTCCTAACTTCCCTTGAAGTCAATGGGAAATGGAGGTTCTCAGTACTTCTCAAAATGAGACTTTTGAAGTGTTTTTCTCAGCAGGCAGTCATTGTTAGTAATTATAAGTGATTTGGTGACTATTTAGAATGAAAGCTCTGACAGTATTTAGTCTTCCCAGCCTATAAAAGGAAGGACTCTTGTCAGTTGTAATGCTGGCTGTGTGGCAACAGGTTTGTGATACCAGTTAATAAAGGATTGTATAGCTAGGTCATACAAATCATTGCATTCTCTTGGACATTCATGTGTCTCTAACTAGCAAGTTTTTCAAATAAGACAATTCTATCTAGAAATCTAGCTACACTATCTAGATACTGTATTTTCCAGTGCAAACACAAGCACACTAATGAATGCTCCCAGTCCACCATTGTGATTTTTTTTTTTAAATTATATTTTTAGGTTTTGAAGTCACATATGAAATACAAGTATACACCCCTGGGCTTAATGTGTACTTAGGTGGGTATTAATATGAAAAATAACCAATTTAAGAGAAATCATTTAGTTATCCTTACTCCTGAAAATTAAGAGTGCTTTATTAGTACATTTTAGTGGTCGAATCAAAAATTTCTACTAATTCTAGTTTCTGCTTGAAATCAATTTATTGATTTAAAAATCTCTACTGATCTCTAATTTCCACTTGAAATAATTTTTTTTTAAACCAGCTTTAAAGAAATCCTAGAGGTATAATACAGTTTATATCTTAATTTAGCACCAAAGATAGCAAAGGGGGCTTTAAACTGAAAGCTGTGCTGTTAGTTGACTGATGAATGAATTTTCATATATTCTGGGTCTCTGACCTTTGTGTAGCACTCGCACAACTCTTGATCTGTGCAGGCAGTTGCTATACAAGCTTCTACTGATTTTATTTTTACTAGAGCATGTTTCTGTCTTTGCACACAACAGACATATTATATGTTTTGGGAGACTGGGGTAAGGATGCGAAAAGCAGGCTCCCTGGCTTTTAATTTCAGATTTTAACCTAAATGGATGTTTCATTCTTCCTTAAGTGTTTTGTGTGTGTTAGCTTGTTACAGGGCACAAAAAGGTATTTCTTTGTACCTCAGGTGCAAAGAGATTTCTTCAGAAGACTGTCTCGCAACATCCTTTTCTATTGCTGACTTCCCCATTTCAGAGTGTTCTGTCATTTTTTTGATTTGTACATGCAAAATGAAAAGCTGGGCTTAAAAATTTGTCACAACATGTCTGAAGAATTGTTTACCAAACCATATACCTGCTTTCAGACCTTTTGTAGTCAATAATTTACTAAAATTCACTTTCGCAGTCAGGTGAGGCGAACTCTAACTCATTCAACTTGTGCAGATTTGTCTGGCATCTCTTTTAATTGTGTATGGAAATGCTCCTCATTAAATGGGTTCTTGTAGTCCTAAACTCTTATTCTCCACTTCCTAGAAGTGTCATATAACCAGGCAACATTTTGCACCAACTCAGGATATCTAAGATGTTTGCAAGTCCCACTGTGTTCTGGCATAATTCAGTGAGGTGAATCGGGTGATGTTGGGACCCTCCTTATCTATCTTTGCTACTCAAGTAACACACACCAGCCAAGTGATAGTCAGCTGCACAAGGAAGGCCACAGTACTCACAGGCAGCTGTGTGATAAGGGTATTTCTTCGGGAGAGGATAGTTCATAGTTTCACCACTATGAAACCCAGTTGTCTGCAGTGGGTTACAGGCTAGAAACATGGGAATATGTGTTTGGAAAGCTCATACTGCAATGGGTGCCTGCTGTATTTTAATGCTGGAGATTGTAAATGTAATGGATTAAACAAAACTGTTTGCATTGCACGGTTAATTTGAGGGAGTCTTTAATTTCCAGTGACTTCCTCTGCAGTTACAGCTAGCAGCCAACTTCAAAAACACACTCATGCACTAGAGCTATGCTATACAACATGGCAGGGTGTCACAAAACATTTGAGTGAGTGTAGGTAGGCACGGAAGTGCAGGCTAAAAAAGGGCTTTTGTATGAATGAAAAAGAAACAGTCTGGAAAGGGGGAAGAACAATTTATTCACATCTTTCTCAACTCATTCTTTGCTCTGATTTTTCCTTTGGGAGGGTGGCACCTGGTAGACTAGGAATTTTCAAAAAATAACAGGGATTTCATATATCTGTTTGTGAGCACACCTGGATGTGTTGAATATTTTGCAGTAGTAATTATGTCTGCACACCTGCTAGTTTCAGTCCCAAATCAGTTTGCAGACGTGCCTAGAGAGATTTATTTCTCCTATACCTGAAAAAGCTCTTTTACCACTGAGTTTTTACTGCTCTAAACAAGCCTAAAAAAAAAAAAAAAAAAAGAGGATTTTTTTCTTGTCTTTGCTTGAGCCATTGGTATCTCAGACTGAACTGTGGAGTTTGTAGGGGGAGGAGGGTATTTGGATGATATTTTAATAGCAATTTGTTTTTGCTTAAATGTGTGATAGAAATACAAGTGACAGGAGTGGGAACAGGAGAGTTGTTGAATTCTGCTGGAATTTTTCCTGTGGGAATCTGTTAATGTTTTTAATTCTCTCAGAGATTTTTCTAAGGTAATCCTTTTGACATTTACATATTTTAAATGACTCTCATTAAATAAAAGCTTAACTTTTTTATATCAAATGCTGAAGTGATGATACTGGAATACCTCTGCATAGAAATTCAAATGGTTTGAAGATTATTCTAATTGTAACCTAAGCAAAGTAAGTTTTGTGAGGGATATTAATAGTGAATTGTTCTTTAAAATAATGTAATTTTGAAGGAAAAATCAATTGTTCTTGCATTTAGTAGAAGCATTTTTTTTAGACAAGGCCTTTTTTAGTACCTAATGTGGGGTGCACATAGCTGTTTGTTAATTGAAACACTAATTTGAACAGCTGGGCTTTCCACTCCTCGCTTGCATAGCAAATATAATCTATGCAGGAGCCTAAGGGTTTGCAGTGCACCTTGTGAAAAATACTTCTAGTTGTCTGTATCATATCGGGGTGTAGGTCAGCCCCTGAAGGAGGATGCTGTTACCAGCACAGGGAAGGCTGGAAGAAATAAAAAGTGGAACATCTTTTAAAAAATAAGAGCATGATGACGAGGTGTTGCATCTCTTACTGGTGATACCCTCTTGCAAACAAACAATGCCTTGAGAAAAATACATATCCTTTAACTTCCTTTCACGGGAGGCAGGAGTCATAGTATGAGGGTATCTCAGGGACAAACATGTAGTCTAGCTCTGAGATGCTTTTAAATGAACTTTATTCTGTAGGTTGCACTCTGCTTGTTCAAGTCCTTGAGCCAGATTTTGCTCTCAGACCGGCCTAAGTACTAGGTAAATTTATTTAATTAAATTTGCTGCAGATATCCCCAGTTAACAAGAACAGATTGGTCTCCCTGAGGGCTAGATGGAGTTAACAAGAAAATAAATGTTGTGCTAATTAGAGAACTCATTTTCAGACACCTGGGGTAAAACTTTAAAAAGTCCTAGAGATTTAGGATTGAAAATTCATTTCAAAATGAATCTTAGGCTTCTAAATCACTTGGGCATTTTTGAAAAATTTACCCATGGGCTTTAAGCATTGCAGAGTCATCATATTTAGCATGTTTGTAGCTGTCTGCTTAGCAAAGCATGGTTATAACTGTTATCTATTATTATCAGTATATCACAATGTTTTGCATTATTCCTGTAAGTAAACTACAGATACTGAGCTACCTGGTGAGTTGAAGATAGGCTAAATGTCATTTTTTTGAGGATGATTATGTGTCAACAGGAACAGATGGATGCTTTCTTAGAGTTTTTAAGGCACTGGTGCACCAAATTTCTATCAATTTGCGAGCTCATGGGACTTTCTGTTGATTTAGGTAGCTAAGAACTTTTATTTAAATCTTGGTCTTGAGTGACTTGTCCAAGCTTATGTATGAAAAAGACAGCACAGTTACAGTTTTATAGTTCAGCACTTGCTGGAAGAAAAATGAGATGCTTAATACTGTCACAATGCTATTTATCTGCTGAGTTTTGATAGGAAATAATGAGGAGTCATAAGCCAAATAAAAAATGACATAGGTTTAATATTAAGCCAAATTTCCAGATTCACATATCAGATTAGCAAAAAAAGCAAGCGAAGAACCAGACTCCAAGGAGCAAAATGCCACTTCATTTGCTTACAGCTTGAAAGCATGTTTTCAGTTCTTGTGTTTTTTTCCTGTAGCCAGTCTGAGGATTTTTCTGAAATACTGTCCTTGTAAAGACATGCATTAGTAGCGTCTGTTTCATGCCAGGTAAAACCCTTCCCACAGCCACGCACACACTTGCTGTCTGTCAGCAAAAACTTCTGTGTCAGTAATTAGAAAAACGCTATTAAAAACCTGCCTTGTAATCCCAGATAGCCTCTGGGTTGACTCAGTTCTGTTTTGTCTTCCTTGCTCAGTGCAGTAACCCAGGACTGTTTCACCATGAAGAGGGACCCTGCTCCTCTGACAAGCTGCCTAGTAACTATATTATTTATGTGGTTCTACAAAGTGTCATTTTGAGGGCAACAGCATACAGATGGAGTGTCCTAAAGAGGTGACCTTTGGTGACAAAATCCTTAACCTAACAGGTTTATAATATGGGTGAAGCACGTTACAGATGGACACTTGGGAGCTGGATCTCACCATGGGGTACCTTACCTGTACTTCGTGTCATCATCTGAAAATTTACTCCAGCCTGTCATGAGTCTAGATCATCAGACAACATCATAAAACACATGAGTCAGGGCACTCAAACATTGAGGTTATCCACTGAGCTCATTATTTTCATACCTAATTAGACAGTGCTATTGAGGGAGAACTGCACATTATGCTGAAGAATCCTGTTTCATCACTAGTCCTAAAAGATAATTGTGTTTAATTAGGACCTACAGATACCATGGTGATTACTGATCTATAAACACTCAAAGTAGACCTGTGAATAAGGTGCAATAGCAAGTGCACCCATTAAACACTATTCAAAAGCTGATACTGAGGTGAGATGACAAAGGTTGAGCTGTTTTTATTTAAAATGTAACTTGTAGCTCTAGCGCTCTGTTGTGATTCTCTGCAATTCCTCTGCTGTGAACCAGAAGGCAGAAAAACACCCGCTGATCTTCCCTTTCTGAATTTAGAAAATTTTTTTGTTTAATACAGTGCAATATATGCATGAATGGGAAAGAGGGCTGAGAGTTGACATCTGTAGCAGCAAAAGCTGTCTTTTTCTGTTTGAGATCAGGTCAGAAATGAAGAAGCAGAAATACAAGCGTGGCTAGTAATATCACAGATAAAGCAGTGAACATACTTCTTGTAATGCATGTTATAATGCATGATCCAATTAATTGCATATGGTATTTATAGTCAAAGAAGCTGCTGGTTACCTTGTCCCAGCACAGGTCTGAAGGGTCATTTGCAGCAAGTCAGAATACAGAAAAGTCATCCTCGTCCTTTGGTGCTTGTGCACAACTGCCTGCAAATGTGTTACTGTGAATGGAAATACTTGGTGAAGGTGCCAGGTCAGTAAGAGTGTGCCTAATCAGGTCACACAAACTATGTCTGTGAGCTTATAATAAATTGTCCTTCACATTTCCATGTCAGACTGGACAACATGCTTCCCTATATACTCATCCTGTTCTTTGCTGACTCAGACCACATTTGAACTGATGACATAAAGCTGAATGCATTCATTTCTCTTTATTGATCCTTTGGGGAATACAAACCCCTTGGAATAGAATGTTTAATACAGTAGTCACTAAGTTAGTGTGAAATACTGCATTTCTTTTCTGAAGTAACCAAAAAGTCAAGCACTTGGAAGTAATGGGATTCTTGTGTAAAAATTATCATAACTTAATCTCATTGGAAATTCTTTGTGGTTGATATGTTCCCTGCAATACTTTTCTGTAAATGATTGTGAGTGGAAAGCACAAAAGTAGTACTTTTATGGGTCGGAAGGGGAAAGACTTGCCAAGAGGCTAAGTGGAATGATAAATTGCTTGCCCACTGAAATTATGGGTATCCAGTTTCTTGCATTTTGTAGCTCTTCCTTTCTGCAGCAGGGAGAACAGCTGAACAATTTTGTATTTACAAGTGCACAAGAGGTGCATACACATGACCAGCTCAACACTTCCCTTAAAAAGCAAAAAGCAGATTTGACAGCTGCTTGGTCAGTCGATGGTAAGAGGAAATAGTTTACACTGCAAGTGGCAAATATAAATAACATCCAATAATGACAATCTAAAGAGGAAGTAACTAGGAAAAGCAAATGTCCTGATCAGAATATATTTCAAGTTGTAATTTCACTTTAGGCTGCCTTACCCTCTGTGATATCTGCATCTTCTCCTTACTCCCTCAGTTCATTACTCGGATGGCTCTGCCCCCTCCAGATCCACAGTTTGTTCTCAGAGGCACCAGTGCTGCAGTCCACACTCTGCATTTTTCCTGTGAAGGCCAAGAACATGATGTCCCCATTCTTTTCTCTGGGTGAGTAACCCGGGATTTCTGGTTGAGTTGAGCATCATATGGACATTTCCTTTTAAAGTGTATTATTTAGATAAATTGTATCTGAAGAAAACAACAAAATGCATGTTTGATGAATGATGAGTGTGTTGTCTTCGTACATACAGTTTCATTAAAAAAAAAAAATAAAACAAACAAAAAAACCTGGAAACTATCAGACTGTCTTATCAGATCATCTGCAGTGGTCACTCTAAAAGCATCTCTTCTTTCTGTCAGGTCTGAGAATGGATTTATCCATGTCTGGAACCTGAAAACACACAGAGTGGACACAGCACTGGATGGCCATGGAAGAAAATCTGTCTACTGCGTCAAGACAATGGGTGGTAAAGACAGGCTTCTCAGGTTAGCAAAGCAGGCAAAAACCAGTGAAATTCTTCTAATTTCTGTGATGATTGAAGAAGATTTAAAAAAAAAAAATAGATTAAAAAAAAAGCAATCCCTTATTTCTGGAGTCACTGAAAGTCTCTCCAGCACATATGGAAATGTACAGAAGTACAGAAATACAGAAAAACTGTAGAAAAAGTGTAAAAAAATATATGATTAATTTCTTTATGATATATATGTGACAACATTACAACTTGGGGTCCATAGTCTCTTTATTACTGCACTGAGATCAGGTGAGGTCTTTGGGTAAATACACTTGAATTTGAAGTTGACAAATGCTACACAACTGGTTCTCAGGGAAGATCAAAATTGATATACAGTTTATAAGTAGAGGGGAGAAAGAGAAGAAGTAAGGAAGGAAGCTGAAAAATCAGAGATGGGGAATTGAAGACTGAAAATGAGCAAGAATGCTGAGTTGCACACCTTTGCTTTGTTGCAAAATATCTCTTCTCGTTTAGCAAGGGAAGATTGGGAAGATTTGTGTACTTTGGATTAGACAGGTGATCTAGAGTAGATGCCAAAGTGTCTGTATGACTAGGAGTTGTTCTGACATGTTTATCTAGAGAAGACATCTCTTATAATATACAGTGGAACTCATTAGCATTTATATTTGTTATCTGCTTAAGTACAATTATCAACACTCTCCCCCATAAAAGGATATTGGATGAGTATTGTTTGCATAATTATAGTTTTTCCATAGCTCTATTTTTGCTGTATATTTATAGCAGTGTGATTTTAGGACAGCAGTTACCTGTATTTTTTGTTTCTCTGTTCTAAAGCTAAATCACAATTTCTTGCAGTACCACATTGTTTGTATGCCCAGTGCTATAAATGTTTTGACAGTTTGTCACTCAGCTGAACAGCAGACAAGAGTTTCTCTATTGATGTTGAAGTCCCAACATTCTGTAGATTTGCATCTACCTCTCTTTTGGTTTCATATTTCCATCAGGTGGTACTGCTAATTAAAATAAGGATAAGGGATTTTTGGTCACTCCTTGTCCCAGGTGATAACATAAGGATACATCCCAGTGCTACTGTAGTTTGTGGACTGGAAGCTTCTCCACAGTGGTACTTTGTTCCAGAGCCAGTGGGATCATGTACATGTGTAGTGGTTAACGCTGTGCCCTTTGTCTGGCCTCCTTGGTCTTACTGTCTGGGATCAACACACAGACTGTTGTGTGGGATGGAGAGGTGTGCAGAGGAGCCTCTGCATGAGCTGCACTAGTACATCAGTGATGCAGCTGCTGGTTCTCTGATTTTGGATGTTTTAACCACAGCGTTTCATTGTTCAATTCCTGCTACTCACTGCACTGCCAGTCCCTCTCCTGTTGTGTCTCCACACTTACACAGTCTTAACAGTCTTCTGTGCCCTCCCTGTGGCTGTGGGAAGTTGACCACTGAATAACTGTAGCTTTTTATTGGTCTTTGATGTGACCTTTGTTGTCTTGCTATTTGTCTTTCAGCTGTCAACACGCCTAACATTTCCATTTCATTGCTAGGCTGAAAGAGTGTTAAATGTGTTACTCTCTGGACACTCTTGTTTCCTTTTAAATTGCCATCTAATCAATCGTAAAATGTAAGTTTTTATTATGAATATGTTCAATTATGAGACTCCATAAATATATACGCACATATAAATAGCATAACTGTGATCAAGCAAGGAAACATGGCTGGCTGTGACTGCAGTGTATCTGACTGACTCGGGTCCTCCCGGTAACTGTTGAACCTACTGGCCAGTTTTGCAGTCAGCACGAGGGCGCTGGTCTCGGGGATGCTGAGCTCCCACACATTTCATGAAAGACCCAGTTAATACCCCCCCAGAAGCTGTACTAAGCTCACGCCTTTACTGCATGTTGAAGACCCAACTTTGAGGTACTAACCTGCAGGAAGCCAGGCTTTCTCAGACCTGCTGCTCACGGATAACTTGCTTTATTGTAACAGTCAGGGTCGTGACCAGAGGATCTGCTTGTGGGATTTAGCAGAGGGACGAACTTCGGTGACGGATTCTGTCTTCACAGAGAATGTGGGATTCTGCAGATGCTCGCTGTTAAAGGTGGCACAGGGACGCTGGCTAATGGCCATGGCAGCCAAATCCCTGGAGGAGGTAGGAAACATCTCTTTTTCTGGTGCTTGGGTGATTGCTTTTGGTTTTGAAATGAGATAGTTCAGAAAGGGAAGCATCATTGCTCTCAAATTCTCTGCTCAAGAAAGGGCAGCATGAGGAACCTTTGGGGGTTCTAATCACTGATTTTACCTGCCAGAAAGATGACTGAATTATATAACTCATGCTCTAATAACAAGGATACCACCCCAAGATTCGTCTGACACTTAAGTATTTGCAGCTGCTGCTGGTCTTTCATGTGCAGGAGTTTTGAAAACTCTTCTGGTGCTGCTGAATGCTGTTAATGGGGAACAAGAGTCCTTCTGGGGAACTAATGGTCAGAAAGTCTGTCATCAGATGGAGGTACTCATCTTCCATCGTGTTTGGTGAGAGAAGGGGAGGTGCAGGTGATTTGTAATGCGATATGTGGTCTTTCACCCCAGGCTAATTCTTTAACTGGTACTTTGGCTGGAAATAGTTGAATTACTATTAGCGGCCAGAGGTTTGCTCAGTGTGAGATAATTGTAGGGTCCGTTTCAGTTCCCACTGGATAAGTCCACATCTAATACCCATTATCACAGCAATCACTGACTGACAGCTGTGTTGGCAATTTCCACTTCTGCTTTGTAGAAATCATATTTTTGTTTTCTTTGAAGGATTGTTTGAGGACATCACACAAAAATCAATTATTTCAAATACCTGACATCAAAATACCAAAAATATGAAAAAAAGGAAAAAGTGGCTTAAATATGAAAAGAAATATTGTAGCTAATTGCAAATTGCTCATGAACATAAAAGGTCATATGCTTTTCTGGCCTATAGGATGTGTATCTTGAAACTGAAAATTGCATTTTTATATACGAAGTAATAAGTGGGAATGGTGCCTGTATTGCAAGAAAATGTGAACTTTTTATTATTATGAAGTTAAGCACATATTTAAGTACTTTGTTGGCTCATAGCCAGAATGTTCAGCCTTTTACAGAACTGAGTAAGCCTGTAGACACAACCACTGTACCAGTAAATACAACCATTCTACGTCCCATACATTGTTCTGATCAAAGAAGGAACTCCCTCCATTTTAGAGCAGTGCTCAATAGTATTTAAGTTAAACAAAATTGTCAAGTACGTTCTTGTGTCAGCTGGAGATGAGTTTTTGTGTCAGTGTGTACACGCACACATTCTGGTAGTGAAGAATTAAATAATCACCTGATCCAGAGAGGAAACATTTACCCCAATGTCTCTTAAAGCTCATCTTTGTTTTATTTTCATTTGTTTGCTTGGACCTTGCAAACTGGTAATGATTTGCTGTCTCCTGAGGTAAAAGAGTTCCACTCTGTGTATGAACCTTTACATTAGGACTGTGTCAGGTTTCAATAAATTCACATAAGCTCCCATAATATATAGTGCTTCCAAATAGGCAGCACTGTGTGAGACACAGTACATTTGCAGCTTATGATTAAAATTAAGACTTAATAAGTGTTTATGCTTGGCTGGTGCCCAAAAAAAGAGTAATTTTGTCTTAAAGCAGGTTCAGTCCATAAATAATGAGATCTGAACAGGCATTTATTTGTTCATGATTGCATTTAAATCACCAATTATGAGTTACATGCACTTTTCTTGCCAATTTGCCAGAAACATGTTAAAAGCTTTATTAATGTGAAAAAGAAAAAGGGTGTGTTTCCTTGTGGCCAGTTTTAGCCACCCAGGAACACTATTAACCTCAGGCAAAGGCAAATCTTTCTCCTATTAAGCAAAACCAATATAAACACAGAACTTCAAGTTTTAGGTTACAGTTGTCAAAATACATGAAATAGTATTTATTTCTAAGGCTCAGTTGCCTCTAATGCAGACGGTCTCTGGAACTGTCAGTCTAGTGCAGGCAGCTCATGCCTGCCCGCTTTCTGCGAAAAGCTTTTCTCATCTTTGTGGGGTTTTTTGTCCTTCACAAGCCCAACTGTAGCCCTTGTACCAGTTAGTCCATTTTTAATCAAGGTAAAGCAAAGGAGGCTTGGTTGTTTTGTTTGCTTTGTTTCTTTTAACCTGCAGAAGTGCATTTATCACAGCACACTTAGGCTTACTTATTACGTAAAAGTTGCAGTTTCAGTCTTGTCTAGGAGGCAATGTCCTCTGGAGAGCCAGTGATGAAAGATTCGAGATGAGAGCAGGTCATCTTCGTATTTACAGCCCATTTCCTGCAATACCCAACTCAGTCATTATGTTGATAGCAAGAAAGTTGCCAAGAGAAAAGCATCTTTTGTTAAGAGTGTAGCTCCAAAGAACAAGAATTCCCAAATGATCAAACTTTGGCCTGTTCATAGCTTTGGTCTACATACTGGATGGCTCTCTGCTGTAGTCTCCATTCCTCAAATCTGGAGAATAGTTTCCTGCTTCGTTGCTAAGTGGCTTTAGAAAGCATTCTGCATATTGTGTTTAGTACATTGTCAACCTGCAGTCCTAGAGTGCAGCTGGCTTTTGGCAGGCTAGCTGACAACCTCTAGAAATAGGAAGATGTCCTGGCAAGCTTTGAACTAAAGGTATGGGATTGGAAAGCCATCGCAGCTGCCGTGGTCTTGACTGATGGTTCCCAGAGGAGCCATATTTGTGTAATACCTCATCTCGGATACTTAAGGAAATTCGCATGCCTGGGGCTGTCCAGCAGCACTGCTGGGCTTTTCCACTTTCTGAAATAGTCTAGAATGGCGGGTGATGCTGGATTTATCAAATGTTTGAAGTCCCTTCATTTTATGAAATAATGCAACCATTGTTTATTTAATTAAAATAAAAGATCACTTTAGTGATTAAGTATGCATTTGGGAAACAGTGATGTTCCTGGCAGCAAGTTTTTGATACCTAAGAACTACTCTTTCTCCATAGTTCCAGGCTTGAGAATCAGCCCAGAGTGAGGCACTTCCGTGTCAATCAAGAGACTCAAAACCTTCCAGTGCCAAATTGCAAAGGCAGACTCCCCTGATCTTGTCTGCCATCATCCTGAGGTGGAAATGAGCTACTTCCTTGGCAGAGGAAAGACTTGCCCAATGCTTAAAAAAAAAAAAAAAAAAAAAAAAAAAAAATCAGATCCATAATTCATTACCATCAGTACAAGCAACAGTGGAAGCTGCTCTGTAGACAGAGAGCAGGTGTTTAACACAATATTGTCTGACCCTGCCTCAAACAGGGTCACACAATACCTGTATGTGTTAAAAATACCAATATGCCATCATTGCACCAGCCTGAGTTAGCAGATAATTCTGGGTTTACATTTTGTTAGTGCAGTCAGCCAGTACATAAAAAACCCACCTTAGATATATATATTGCCTATATTTCCATGCAAGCTCTGTGTCACCATGACAGAACAAAGGAGACTATGCAAGTGTCCACAAGTGAATATAACCAAAAAACTAGCAACATAAATGGAAAAAAGGAAAAGGGAGAGGTAGCAGGGAAGTGTTTTCAGATTAAGTAGTCGGCAATATTATCTGGTGTATGCACAATATCATCTACTGTATGGAAAGAAGACTGTAATACAGATTAAATAGAAGAGTGGAAGAAGAGTATGTGATCATTCTAGCAGTTTTTTCTGCTCTTTCCTAAAACAATGCATTTATTTAGATAGCTGTAGATTCCCCTACAGCTCCAACTTAACATACATTCCTCAGTTTCCTCCAGACAGTTTTTACTGGAAGAGCTTATACTAGCTTTAATCACCTTAAAAAAGTTGTGTTTTTAAGAGCAGCATTTTGACCTGGAGCCTCACCAAGTACTCTTGTTTTCCTGATGTCAGGTTCAGGTTTTGGAGCTGCCATCCAAGACATCAGTCTGTACCTTGAAGCCAGAGGTGGGTGCCAAGCTGGGCATGCCCATGTGTCTGAAGTTATGGCAGGTAAGGCAAGAGTGCCTGCTAATTGTGAAATGTTTTCCCTCTGATTCATTTTATATGAAGCACATGAATCTTTCTTCACTTGGATTTTGATTTATTATCAAACCAATCAAGTAATTATACTATTAAAGGGGGGAAAGATTTGTGAACATCCTTAATGTAACTTTCAAGCTTTCCAAGCTTTAATGGAAGATTTGCAAATACTCAGGGAAAGCTTTGTATCCTTAGGATAGATACGTTTTTTACATCAATCAAGAGGAAAATGAGTGACTTACCAAAGCCAGTTGTTTGATATGGTTTCTCACTGCATTATGAATGATGAGAAATGATTCGGTTTCTTAAAATCACCGATTTTAATGGCAGGTTACATTCACTTCAGTGCCCTCAGGACAAGGAAGCACTCTATGAACATTTCTATTCCAGACATACAATAGGAACAAAATATTTATGGTGGTATTGACTTTGGACAAAAAGGTAAATAAAAGCAGTTAATGAAAAAAGCCCACCTTTGTAGGATATTCAGCAAATAACGGTTATGGAGTGCCATCAGTGGAAAAGTAATACAAAAAGGTGGCCATGGAAGGAGGAAAGGGTTTAGGTGATTGGCTCTAAATCTCCAGAGAATTCGTGGCAAAGCTGATTTCCAGTTTAACACCCTGACCACATGACGGTTACGGGTCTGCAGTACCATCCAAGCTGATTTCAAGTATGTTATTCCTGGAGGTTCATCTGAACATTTGTACTGGTTTCAGTTGAAAAAATTATCTATCAGTTGTGAATTTGAGGCCTTCGTGTCTTCACTCAAAGTCCTGAACTGACTGAAGTTTAGAGAATTTCAGTTGCTGACTTCAGACAAAAGTAGAAGAGGCTGATGCTGTTCAAGTCCCATGCTGTAATTAAAAAACAGAAAAAAAAAAAATTAAAAGGAAAATTAGACTGATCAGGCTTTTATTAAACAGAAAGTTTCTCCTAAAAATGCAATCAGTGTTCAGTACTCAATGAAATGAATGGGGCTTTCTGTCTCCTGGACATTTTTTAATAAGATGAAGATAACTGAGGAAATGTTCAGTGTTGAAAATTTTGTTGCCTGTATAAAAAGTCCTCTGTCTTGCCATATTTTCTACATGCATTAATATTGCTATTCCTCTAGGAAGCAGAGCAGGTGCAGAGTCTTAATTTTATGTAGGTTTTAATTTTGTTGCCAGTGGGGATAAAGCAGAGGACTGGGAACTGGGAGAGGTAAATTATTCCATGCAAATTCTGACTTTGGGAAGTCACCACAACTTCCTAGACTGCAACAGGCAAAGATAGATAATCCCTTAAGGTCTCACAGCTGTATTTGCTCTTCTACAAATGTATGCAACTTGGTTTAAAAGCATGGGGGAGGAGGATACTCTTAAGGGCAAATAATTATATGTGGTGTACCAGAGTGATGCTCTGCATTCTGTTTTGTGGTTTCACTGGAAGTGGCTCACTGAGTAACCTGGTAACCATAAAAGCAGAACAGGAGCTAACCCAGCTGCACCCCTTCCTGAACAGAGGCTGTCCAGGATTTCTTTGTACATTACTGCATTGGGCAATATAGACATACCCAGGAGATGAGCACTCACCAACCCAGCGCTTTTGGGAAATGTGTTGCCTAAGAGACTATTTGATGTTGCTTATGGCACAGTAAATTAACAAGTTGAAACAGAAGCTGACATGGAGAGAGCGACATAATGGTCTGAAGGAAGTCTGCTTAGGGTTGTTGTCCAACAAGAGTTTAGGGGCTGCAGCCATGTATCGTCCTATTTTTCTGCATGCCAATAAAAGGTCCACCTACCAGAGAAACAACGCGCCTTACCAGCAGCAGCATGAATTAGAAACTTTACTGTAGTGTAGAAGGAAAGTAAGGCTTAGGTTAGGCTTCTAGATTAAGCTTCACTGGCTTCTCCTAAGCAGTTAAAAAGCTTTCAGCTGTTTTATTTTGTTGTTTTGAAGTTTTTTTCCCCCCCCTCATTTTACTAGGTCTGTCCGTAAATGTATTAGTTCATTCAGTGGGTTTTTTCATTGTGAAGGTTCAGATTCTTAAATACATTGTCCCTTCAGATTCACACCTTCCTGCTATTAGTAATTGGGTGGAGTAGGATTTGCAGGAGTAAGGATAGTCTTCCCTTAAATTTTTTGTACTCCTTGGGGAAGGCATCACGTTGCGTAATGGTGCAAACAAAATAATTCAACAGGAATAATACATGTAGAAACTGGAAACACAGAGTTATTACTTTATATAAACTATAGCAATTATTCCTGTTGAGTTGACAGTGGATCACCTTTTCTTCCTTCCTTGACGGTTATCCAAATGCAACAAAATGTTCTGCCTAGGAAGAACAATGATTTATAATTTCATTTTTTCCATTGAAACAGAACATGAATGGTGAAGACTTTTCACCAGAATTGTCTGTTATTAGGAACTGAAATAAATAGGCCGTTGTGAACCCCTGCTTGGTGAGTCCAGGCATCAGACTGAGAGCTCCCCTGATCTTTCAATAGCTTTTATTGTTTAAGTTCAAGTATATGTACTGATTGAAATATTACACTTAATATGGTTAGGGAAAGTCAGGAAGAAGTAGTGTGGGAGACCTTAATTTCATAGAAAACAATACTTTGTTTTTTAAATAGACCAATCTCAGATCTCACTTGCAAATTACTGGTTTTCAAACCTAAGATACCCACAGCACACCACAAAAAAAAAAAAAAAAAAAAAAAAAAAAAAAAAAAAAGCTTTTGCTTGGTATTTCCCATAATGGTGGGCACTCACCTGTCTCTCTTACCTTAATGTGGATTATGAGCACTGATGAAAATCTGGTCATCCTGTTTTGAGTAAGGCAGAGGAGCTGACCCCGCCCACCCAAAACTTGTTTCATTGCCTAAGGAAAGCTATCCCTTACCTTCCATGGAGCCTCAGGGCTCTGGAGGGGTCATGTGCTCAAAGAAGAGCAGTACAAATAATTGTGGGGGTGTTTTATGCCCAGACTGGGGGCTTTTTTAAAACTTAACTGAAGTACCTATGAAATACTTTGTTTTGCTTTGAAGGTTTTACCCTTTATTAAATATAAATAAAATCTGGAATGTTCATTTAATTCAGATTTTTTTTTAACTTTTCCCTGGTATTAAAAAACAGGTACTCTTCACCCAAAACACCTGATGAATTAACATTAGTTCACATATATTGACATATAAAACATCAGAGCAACGTATATTGTTTTAGCAAATCAAAAATTTGAGGGAAAATTGTGCACAGTTCTGAGCATTATGAGAGATGTTCTTTGTGGGCCCTTCTAGCCAGAGCATACTCTCTGCCTTTTCAAAAGAAAAGGGATCTTAAAGCAAGGAATGAGACTCCTGTGGGATCCCAGGTGTGGACAGACCTGTTCAGAAAGCTGGTGTAAGTGATTTCCCCTTGGTTTCCTTCTTTTAAGCGGCTATTTTCTTCCCTGCTCAGTGAGATCCATTCCTCATTTAAACACTTCTTTAGGCTGAGTAAATCTGAGAAAGAACATGAGGCTTTTACACAGCAGTCTTATTACCTAGACCACCCATCTCTTGTTAGTTTAACTCCCGCTGGAGCAAATAATAACCAGTGGGAGAATAGTCTGGACCATTAATAGAGGCGGTGAGCCTTTGGCCACTGCAGGCTTGTATCATGACATTGACAGCCAGCAAGTTTGAAGAACTTCATTCAATAATGTGATACCGGTAAAAAATAATTCTTTATAGATGTCCTTTACCTTTATTTTGTATTGAGTATCAAGTAAACAAATCCTGTAGGATCAGACGGTGTTTGGAAAGAGCTGAATAACCTACTGGATGTGTTTCTTAGTTGTGCCTGCATGAGATGGTCATAATCCTAATGTCTATTTTGGTGTTTCTTCTCCTGTTAAAGAAATAACTGCTATTAACAGTTGCCTGGTTTTTAGTTGCTTTTCATTAGGGATTTGCATCTTCACTCACATAACCAGTTACTGCTTATGGAGTCATTAGTCTTTTGGCTGGAGCAATGATGAATATTTTCCTTAAGTGTGACATGTAATCCAGTAATGTTCCCTTCTTTGAGTTATTTCAGAGGCTTAAATAAATTAGGTGTCTGCCCAGGGTGCCATGCCCTTTGGCCCATGACATCATTAATCAAAATAGCCTTCAATTGGTTACAGTGGGACTCGAGCGCCTGTTAACCCCTTGGTGACTCACCCAGAGATTCCTGACCAGAGGCTCAGTGTTTACCTTTAAGCACTGTGGTGCACTTGGGTAAACGATCCCTATGTGTAACCCTACACTTGGCAATGTGAAACTGGAATCTTTAAGCATGGCACTTCTTTCAATGTCCATATGGGTTTGTATAGCTTGATAGTAACTCATTGCTCTAAGAAATTTTTTTTAAGGAGCGCTAACAAAGTTCAGGCCGTGAAGTAAAGCTTCTGAAAGGGTCAGGCAGCCTTTTTTCGGGTGTTGTAGAAGCCAATAGTTTGTATTTTCAGAGAGAAATTTTCTATATGTGTGTATATATATGTGTATGTTAGGTATATATTACATGTACTAAAGAGAATTTTATATGTAGATATAAAAACCGTAAATGCATGTCAGCAGTTACCTAGTAACGCTTTTTGTGAGTGGATGGACTATCAAGATTTGACATTCAGACTTCCAAACTTTTCACTTCTATACCAGTCAGCATTTTAATTTATTTTCTTGGTGCTTGGACTGCAACCTACCTGGGGATGATAATTTTCCTAACAGACTCTGTACTTCTCAAACAATTTTACTTTTCCCTTGATCAGCTCAGCTGTGGTTCACAACCTTCGCTTCTGGCTGGCTATGAAGATGGATCAGTGGTCCTTTGGAATTTGTCAATGGGAAAAGCGTTGAGCCAACTTCTTTGCCACCAGGAGCCAGTGATGAGCCTTGACTTTGACTCGGAGAAGGCCAAGGGGATCTCGGCCTCGTCTGAAAAGGTGCTTAGCATCTGGAGCCTCAATGAGCAACAGAACCTCCAGGTCAGGATCATTGGCCCTCTAATGTCATTTATCCCACTTTGCACTAACAGTTTGATAGACTAAAAAAATATTTAGTCATGAAGAGGAGTTGTTGCAGATCTCTAGCTAATTAATCACAGACTGGTTAGAATGTCTGTGCTATGTGACTAGACTTAGCAAAAGATGGTGAGGATTTAAAAAAAAAAAAAGAAAAAGAAAACCTCTCTCACATGTTTCTGGTTTTACCAAAGTTGCAACAGGCACACAAGCCCAGCATTACTCAAGCCATTGCCTCTGTATCTTCATTTATCACGTCAGTAGTATCCAGCTCTCAGAATGTCCTAAACATTATAAATGAGTTATAAAAATGAGAAACAAAGGATTGCTTTTCCAAAGGTTCTGCTTGAATGGATAGAGCTTTCTTTCCACTGTGGGAAAGACAGAAATATTCCATTAAATACTTCATGAATAAAAGGAGTAAGAGTAGCCCAGCTAGCAGCCCTGCTAGGACATGAGGTTTAAGCAACCAGCTTCCTTTGGCACCTTTAGAGCCCTAGCCGGAGACAGGGAAAATAAGTTAATTGGATATATCAGTTTGTGTCTGAGCTATGCATACCTGGAATGGCTGGTTTAGGAGGTCTCATAATCACCAGTTCAGGCTATGTGAATGGCAATAAATATTGCAAAACCTAAACAACTTTAGCAAGTGTTCCAACAGTGCCAAGGGGTTAAGTAGGTTTTAACTAGGTGTGGAAATAAAGTACATAAATAAGGCTCATGAAAAAATTAAAATGGCCCATGCATAGCCTCTCCACTTCTGAGTGCTTTAACTTTTTTAAAAGTGGTAGTTGTCCCCTGAACACACAATGAACGAGGACCTGAACCAGCCCTTGTGTGCCCCCATATCAACCTTGAGAAGCGAGCTGGTGGATACACCAATCCATATAAGAACAATAATTTCTCTTCTAGCTTGCAGCTTTTATGGAGATTTTTAGGTAGTGTGGCAAGTTAATGCTGTTTTCTGACAGGAAGAAAAGCAAGTGCTTGGACATCCAATGGTGAATTGTCACCTGGGGGACACTGCAAATGTGTATAAGATGTTAGGCATCACCACAGAACTAGCACTTATGGCATGTTAGAGCACTAAGACTCCAGTGCATGTAGTGAAAATGCATCCAACTGAGATGAAGTTTGGAGGACATGGTGCTCACTGAGAATGTCTGAACTTTAATAAGCAATAAGACACGAAGTAAAAGAGGCACTCTAGGCTCTGAATAAGTAGCAAAGGCATTCTAAGCAAATGTGATAAAGAAGAGTGTTAATAAGTCTGGTACACAGTTGTCACAGTTTGGGGTTTTTTTGTCATGTTTGCCCTTTCTCTGCCCTGGCCTTTCTGTCACTGTTGGAACACATCTGCACCTGGTGTCCTTAGCTTGGAGAAGCAGAAGGAAGGTGAGCAGGTAAGTCCCAGTAAGAAACTTGGTATTAAGACTAGTTTTCTAAAGCCAAGGTGTCAGAAATCTTACATCATGACAGGCTTCTTAAAGCTTCAAATATTCTGGTATTGGAGAGGAAGCTGTTCCTTCATATTAATTATAGCATGGCTTTTTCCTAAATTCAAAGAAAATATTGTTCTCCGCAGCCCATTTCAGTTATGAGTTAGCTGTAACGCAGGGCTACAGGTATGACTCATGGGAAAAATAAACAGCTGATCACCCAAAATACTCCAGGTATTGTTTTCCACCGGGTATTCACATTCCCAGGAGATGTAGGATTAGTTCCATCTTCAGCACATCACACTGCAAGATAGTAGCTTTTCACGGAAGAAATTAAATGCCAAGTATTATAAGTAATGTTTCTGTGCTTCATTCATAGTGTGAATGCCCTAAAAAAATGCATCTTTCATATGAGCACTAGAGATTGTCAAGGACCTAGATTAAGGTTTTTTTCCCACTATTGCATTAATAATATAAACCAGATGGGGATTTTTTTTTCCTGACATTCCAGGTATCTGAGGTAATGGTAGACGTTGGAAAGCCACTCAGTGGCACATTATTTTTATTCTAAAAGGTTTTAATAAGTAAACGTGGTGCATAGCTATCTGCTGTTGGAGAAATAATGACTCAATGATGGTACTTCAGCTCTGTTTTAAGTGGCAGTGATCCAGTGTGTCAATGAATAGATGATGAAGGTAACTTCATAGTTTATTGCTATGAGGAAAGTTTGGTGTATTGTCTTCTACAAGAAAGTTGCTGAAATCATCACTGTCAGCAAATGACTGGATTGGTTCTGAGCCTTCTGATTTGGACAAGATAGTGTAATTATGTGATGATGTTTGTGGTAGAATGTAGAAGGTAAACAGCTTCTGCAGGTGAATAAACAAAGCAGAACTAAGAAATCTGATAATCATGGAAGATCCTTTATATATGACAAAAAACCCTAAAACTATAAGCTGTAATGTAAGTAAGAGCACAAGTTTTGCTGGTTAGGTTGCTGTGGATTTTCCCTCAAATGCTGAAGCTAAGGCTGCTGCTGTCTTGGTTATTTTTCTAATAAGAAGAGGGCTTAAAGAGATGATTTGGATGTGGGAGAGTAAGATTTAAAAAAAAAAAAAAATCATAGATAGCATGTGTTAGGGAAGGAGAGGTAGTATTTGTCGACCTCAGCATGTCAAAACTTCTTAATGCATCTACTAGTAGATGCAACTGTCCCTGGCTATGACTGGCTGAAAGCAACTCACCTGTTTTTACCTCTTTGTTTTCTTAATTACAAGCTGGTTTTCTGGTTAGGAAATTATGTTGGTATGCATTTGACTATAGTAGTTGCCCAAAAGTGACTAGATGGTACAAATCCTGGCAGCAGGATTTCACCTGGCTGCATATACCTTGTTTTGTTTTTCTCTCTCACCTCTTGTATTTGCAGATCATGCACAAATGCCCACTGTTCACTCATGTTCCATAGCCAAAAGGCATCACCATTACAGGCTTCATTTTCAAGTTGTAGCTTGCTGATGACATGCAATTTCTCCCAGTCGGCCTGATTTTGCTGTATGGATCTTGCCCACATAATTGACAGTAATGATGGGAAGCACCACACCCAGGATTGGTTATAGCCATTAGCTAATAATCTCAGTTACAGAGTTAGGCCCATCTTACATTTGCCAGGCTGATGATGTAAGTAATAAATCCTTCCCTTGCCAGTATGCATATGCCAACAAAAATCCCACTGAAGCCATGCTAAGTTAGTGTAACTGGGGAGTTTGGAAGAACATCTATACTGGCAAAAAGCACAGGTTTTACAATAGCAGCCCCACAAAAAGGCCCACATAGAGCCTCCTACTGTCCATCAGGCTTGAGCAAAATTTGCTGTCCTCTGTTCTAAGTAGACACAGTTGTCAGGCCCTGATTAAAAGAGAAATATACGAAACATGCAAGAAGCACATCAAGTTTTATCTAGCCTTTTTTCTCGTTGAACATCTCTTGCTGTTTGAGTAAGCAGCTGGGCAGTTGTTATATAGTTGAAAAATAATTGCTTATGGCTTTGTGCCTGTAAGATTCTAAGATGTGTTCAACTGCATCTGAAACCAACTTTGACTAGCATTTTTGGAGCTTTAATTTTCTACATCCAGTATTATAGTTAAAATTATCTGCAATGAACAAATTCATTATAATTGTGTACTAACTGTGCATCATGGAATGTCCTTTGAGGAGAAAAGCTATTCGGATGTAATATACTTGTCAATCCCTTCCTACACCAGAAAAACAGCAAACAACATACAGTGTATTAAAAAAATGCACTGAATTACAGTTTTTATGAAATTTTCATAAGCTGTGGTACAAGATAGCTACAGATTCAGCCTTAGGTAGATGGTGACATTAATGCATCATTTCCAGTTGTGCTTATAAACAGCAGTTTAAGGTCAGCATGCACTCAAAAGGTGTTTTCCACATTGTGACAAAAACTAGGCTATTTCAACAGACACCCATGCGCGCGCACGCACACAGACACGCACACTGGTGCATATACTGGATGTGTTTCAGAGGCAGACTGCTGATTAATACAAGTTACCTGAGGTGAGAACAGCAACAATGTATTAATTTGAGCTTTTCCTCTGTGCTTCAGGGGAAACTCATCTCAGTGAAGTGAAAACTTTTCTTTCCAAGGTCTAAGTTCGGTGCAGACCCAGTGCCTCCTAAAGGAAGCTAAACGCCTTCCAATTTAATAGTGCCCCTAAGAAACTTGTGCCCAAGTAGTCTCCAAACAGTAACAAAAGGCTTCCAAGATTGAAATCAATAACTTGGTCATAATCCCCTTCTTGGAATTTGGTGTAAATAAAAGTCTCTTGAGATGGAATACTAGAAATACAGATTTCCTGACACTGTAACCTAATTCCTGGAAGCATTCCTTTCTCAAGACTGTGGTAAATGCTACCACAGCTTATTGGGGTTTTTGTGAGGGGCCACAGCAGTAGAAATAAGTAGCAGGTAGTTTAAACATCAGCTCAGAATCTCAGCATGGGAATATTGCAGAAGCAGGGAAAATATATGGCCATAGCTCTGAACATTGCAGCTCATGCAAGAATAGCTGGAAGAAAAGAGTAAAGCTGTATTCTCAAAACCTTGACTGAGAGCTTCACTTGTGACAGAACAGAAATAGCTTTAAATGCAATATAAACTAAAAACATACAAAGGCTGCTTTTACGTTTAGAGAATGGTGCTGGAGATAGATAGGCTCAAGTTAGGGTCTTTTCCATCTCCGTCTATAAGTGTTCTCACTAAGGCATCATCCACCTCCATACTACCTGTGTGATACCAGTATATATGGGTGGGTACTATACCTTCTAAAATCCCCAAAGGTTCCTTTTTCTTCTGTTTTAAGCCATTAAACTCATCTACAACTTTCTTACACAGGTTTACAAAACACACACACTTGTCAATGCTGGCATATCTGATATCACCATCCGTCCAGACAAGAAGATTTTAGCAACAGCAGGGTGGGATCATCGCATCAGGATCTTTGGCTGGAAAAAACTGAAGCCCTTAGCAGTGCTGGACTACCACACAGCAACCGTCCATTGTGTGTCCTTCTCAGATCACAAAAATTCCAGTGAGAGACTGCTGGCAGCTGGCTCAAAAGATCACCGCATCAGTATCTGGTCAATATATACTCAGACATGACATGTTCTGCACTGTCATGGACTAGGAAAACGGGATTGGCGAAGCAATTCTTTACACTGTAATTCAAACCTGGATCTGGGGAAGTAGGAGAATGTATTTCCAAGCTGAAGTGAGAGTCCAAGATTAATTCTTATGCTGCTTGTTCAAGCTGCGAGTTTTGTTTTTCTGAGAGGGAAGTGGATTTTTAAAATTCATAACAAGCAGAGCAAGGGCAGTCACAAACGAAGACACAGAACAAGTCATTCTGGGTTCTGCTACAGGTTTTGCAATAGCTTTTCTTTGGCAGGTTGCTTAAATAACTTGTGCCACTATCTTTTTTTGTGAAAAGGACTGGAATCGCTCAGATTGCAGTGGGGGCAGAATATGTCTGGTTTTAAGTCATTTATGTATGCAGTAATCTGAATCAGTGTAAAATACCACTCTTTCTTGAAAAGTAATACCCATTAAACCACCTCCAGTGGTTTCTCATTGTCAGTTACTTTTTCTTCCCTGTAACTGAAAGGCTATCGGAACAACCTTGATTTGTTCACAGTTCTGTCAGTGTCTAACTTAAACCAACAGCCAGGAATGTGACTAGGGACGGCCTTTGGCATTTATGAATTTCATTATGTCTCCTGTCACCTCAAGCCTTACAATTAATCACAAGAAAGAAAGGGAAAAAAAGTCTTCCCTGCACTGCACTGCAAAGCTATGTAAAGCCTTTTACAGAGCCAGTGCTAAATCCTTTCCATAGACTGACGAGCTGAAGGATTTAAACTCACCAATCCAATTAGCGCTTTTCTCCTTGGAGAGTTAGGGGTAGGTTTCAGTGTGGCACGTCTGGGATTCAGCTACACAAGTCCCATTAACATTTAGGGGAATTGCATGGATAAATCCTTATCCGCACAATGCGAATGGCTCCATTAACTTGTGTCTACAGTTATGGAAGCTGAAATTCATTCATGAAGGTTTTTGTGTTTGAATCATGAAGTAGCGTTTGCATTCTTTTAAAGCATATTAGACATTCAACAGTCTGTTCATAGACACCTTACTGTTGTATTCAGTCACAAAATTGCAGTTACAACTGTCCCACTGAAACAATTAGCAAGGGCCAGTTTGTTCAAAGGGAGGTGGCCTGAAAACTAGAACTCAGCTCTACAAACTGGTCTGTGACCAGGCTGTGCACTGTTGATACTTTATTTGAAATATTTGTTTCTACCTCTGTACAGAGCTGGACATCAAAGCAAAAGTCACCAGAAGTGTAGTAAACAGCAACATCAAAAAACTAGAAATTATTTCAGGGAAAGCACAGGAGCAAATTAAGGTTTGGGTCTGCTATCCAGCTGTGCTTTACAGGCAGAAAATACTGTTGGACTAAAAGTCTTAAGCACCAAGCTTGATGGTCGTTTTGTTATAACACACAAACAGGATACTGTTGCCAGACTTTTATAAAAAACTTGGCCTTACACATTTTGGAGTGTGATGACACTTTAAATAATGAATTTCTTTGATTATTTCTTTACTATTTGGTAGCTGCATGGAGGATCACATAGCAACTGAAAGCTAAAGCCTAATTTTGAGTGATGCTGAGTCAATGGGAGGTGCTGGTGTTCATTACGTCTCGAGTTGCGCAGACGGTAAAAGTGCTCCATCTCCACCCATCATCCACCTCCCACACTGAGGAGGAGCTACCAACACCATACAAGAGGCTCCAGCCAGCAGCCTGATGAAATGAGGCAGGGTCCCTCTCCACAGACCTGCTGCTGGAAGAAACCTTTTCTTTTTTTCTTTTTCTCCTTTCTTAAAGTAGGTCAGAATTGACATAGATAAACAAACAAACAAATAAATAAATACAGGAAACATTGCCGTGTGTGGTCCAGGGACCTGTGATAGGGAATTTGCAAAGAGATTTCCTTTTGCCTGCCCTGTCTCACACTACACCACACATGAAGCCTGTCAGGCAGCCTTGAGATTGGTGTCTTCTGTTTGAGTGGTGCTCTTGAAACAGAACTTAGTGAAATCCTGCTGTACGGGAACAATTTCACAATCATGTCATTTTTAAAAGGACATAATGCTGTGGATGCATGCTTAGGCTTTAGTTTCCACTTAGGTTATAAATAAATAAGTTAAATATTAAATTGAATAAGTCTCCATCTGTTCAGGAGAGTACCCTGCTCTGCACTGTAACCTATAGTCACTGCACCTTTTTAATCAACAACCTTGAAGGGAGAGCCGATGCCTGAAAAAGCACTGTCAAGACGGTGATTGGGCACTGTCCTGTAAGGTGAAAAAAAACAGCTCTGCATCACCTCAAGCATGGATGTAGGTGTCTTGTGTCAAAAATCAGCAGTTTATCCCCCGTTCAACACCAAGGTACAGAGTTAGAGGCACGGCTGCTACCATCATTTTGCATGGATCAAGGCCAGGGATACCTTCTTGGGACTCCTAGAACAACAGGCATGGGAATGCTCAGTGCTGGAGTCCAGCCTGCATTTTGAACTATCTGAAAAACTTAGCTTCTCATAAAAATTTAAGTTTCCACAGCTTATCACTCCAAAACAAAACAAAACCAGAACAGCCCCGACCATCAAGACACATAGTCTGTCTCTGCATCGTGAACCCACACTCAGTTTCTTCTCTCAACTGTGCATCCCCGCTATTAAAAGTTGCTTTTCCCCCTTCCTTCCCACAGACTTGAGCTGTTCTGCAGCAGCCCTGGGGGTGGGGAGTGGCCTGGAGGCTGCAAGCATGCCTCTTGTCTATGGCAGCAAACAGCAGCCTACCTGTTGGGCAATTTCCACATAATTAAGCTGTAGGTTTAATGCTCATCCAGCAGAAAAGGAAAGGAAACCCAGGGCTCACACATCTTGGGCAAATGGTTATGGTAGGAAATGAGAAGGGCCAAGCTTGGTCCCAGTAAAGAAGTCCTCCTCCCTCCTCTAATCCTTTTGACAGGAAAAGACAACTGTGCCACCAGAGATTATTCTAAGTGGTAAGAAGCCAGATTCAAGGCTGGAGCAGCGATTTAAGATGCAAAGCTCTCCATCATTTCAGGGCAGCTCCATGCTCAGCACACTGCTTGTTCTGGATGGTGGTTACGGGCACCTCCTGCTCCAGGGCCGCTGTGAGGCTCCGAGGCATTGCTGCAGCCTGGCTGGTGGCTGGGCTCACAGCCACCCCCACCCCATTCTAGACCTCCGGTCCCAAAGCAGTACACAAAATGTATCATTAATGAAGGCCTGAGCACCTTACATCCACCATAGGAAATAAATATGCAAATACTGTGATATTGGCACAGTGGCAGCCCCCTAAAAAAAAAAAAAGGGTTAATACCCCATGTCTTAAGAGTGCTATTAGATCAGAACCTGAAAGTTAGTAACTCTTGAGTATATTCTTTTCGCTGGAAAATGCCATGTACTGTCAACATCAGTGGCTAAAATAATCATGGAGACTCACAAGGGATATTTAGATTTACTAATAGGTCTTTTGAAAGATATGTTAAGGATTACTATGTGCATTCACATCTTAACCTACCACTCTTTTATGGGGTTTAAATATTTATGTTTGTCTGACTAGGTAGATTTAAAAATAAACTCAGTCATGCAAGCACAGATCGAAGATGAGGGCATGAACTGCATCTGTAATCTTACTAGCAGGCAGACACAGAGGTAAAGAGTTTCATCAACTTCAAGAGGAAGGACACATGTTGTAGATCTGCTTGCAAGAACAGACCCATCCTATCCTTATTTACTTCCCATTACCAAAGAACTATCCATGTGATACTGCTGCACATTACAACAATTAATTCACTAACACTTGACGTCACTACTGATTTTATTTGAATACCCCATAAAGGGATTTTTTTTTTTTTTTTGCATTATAGTTTCCTTGAAATGAGCAACCAGACTACATTAGTTTGATTTAGAGTTGAGCCTAGATGCCATAGTATGAATGTGAATTACAGTCTTCTAAAAGTTTATTTTCTTAAGGAACTAACCCGGACTTTCCCAAAGTAGAATGATTTCCAACAAGAAGGACAGGCTATATTGCTATAGACTGCAAAATACAATTGTCTGATTGCATCCAGGATTTTTTTTTTTTCTGCTGGGAAAAAAAAAAAAAAAAAAAAAGCAAGCTCTTTACAATAGTAACATGAGCATGGTTATCACTCAAGATTTCATCTGACTTGCTAGCAGGAAGGTTGTGAGTGAAGAGCCACCTTAAGCTGCTGAAGTTAGCTCTGGAATCTCACCTGTCAGAAAGGAACAGGGCTAGCCTGTACCTGGCCTAAAGGATTCAGGAGTGAAGGTGATGACAGCTGAATGATTACAAAAGGCTTCCTCCCAAGAATCACCGTCTTTGGCACTGTGAGAGGGAAGAAAGCAACCGGCATTCATAAACTAATAGAAATAAATCCCAAACACTAGCATTTGTGCAGCAATTACATGGAATATTTATCACCACTGGAATGAATGGTGATCTCTGACCCTCTAACATTTTTTGCAAATAATCTATTAGTTCCAACCCCTTTCTCTTATCACTACATAAGCCATAAAGCATTGCAGTCCTAGGTGCAGATGAGCAAGGAAAGAGGAGATTTGTGTTTGTATTTGTAGTAATGTGTGAAAAAGGAAGTAGGCTGAAGGCCTACAATGAGACAGCTGTTAAATTTAGCCCTATACAATGCAATTGCTTTAGTAGGCCAATAAATTACTCTCTGCAGCTTGACTTGGATTGTTGCAAAGATCTGAGTTGTAAAGAGCAGATTTTTATAGTTAAGTAAATACTGGCTTCTGGACTGCTTTGGTTTTTAGTACCTTCAAGATGCATCTGCAAAGCCAGCTTACAAATTAATAAATCTTTCCTTTAATTCAATCTGCCAAGAACAAAGATAGAACACTGACTACTGCAGGAGCCATGTTAGTGATGTAAACCAAAGGACTGGGGATTAAACAAGGATTACTGAGCGCTAAATCAATGTGTTTCCTTTTCTGGCTTTGTGTCTGCGGTGTGAAAGTATGGATCATTACATAAAACAGGGCACATGACTGCCTGGATTAATACTAGACAATGTTACAGAAATGCTGAGACACAAAGTTTGATGTTTAAGCACAACCAGTGTGCTACCAAGAAAGTGATGGTGATGACTAAGGAGGAAGGCATGGTTTTTCTGGTGCTTGTAGTATTCGGAAATTCCAGCCTGGGTCACCCTACTAGAGTAATTTTTCCAAGTAAACCTGCCTGTGTTTAATCCATGCCCTACTTTTCTAGGGCATGCTGGAGACTTCTTTTATACTGTGAAGAAAACTATCAAGAATTAAGATCATTCCATTTTTTTTGCAATTCATTTAAAGATCTCACAGTATGAAATTAAATGCAAAAACCCATGTCTGCACTATCAGATACAGCAAATAGAAATGTAACTTTCTTAATAGACTTAAATTGAAGCATACCACTTGCCAACATCATCAAAGCAAGCATGGAGCAAGTAACTGTACTCTGGATACCAAATTCTTTGTCCCCTGACCTTACCACATACTCTCATCCCTTTTGGTCAAGACAAGACCAGCAGCCAGAGTTTGGGCTGGTTGATCACATAGCCCTTCTTGTGTACGGTTTTATTTACCACCACCTCTTATCAAATACCACAAAATAACAGGTCTGCTTGGGTTGAGCCATCTGCTCCCCTATGCATTTTTAAAGCTATCATCAGCTGCACTTACTCAGCCTATTAAGAATTTTGTTCCTGAGTAGTGACACCTCCCCCAAATACATTTAGTAGCGATACACACCCCCAAATACATTTCATGCTTATGTCTGAGGAGGTATATTTTGTTTTAGCCATTAGTGGTTTATCCCCCTTCAATACAATCCATCGCAAAAACTTTGACACTAATCTATTATTAAACCACGTAGTTGGGACCATAGCAACATCATCTCTCAGCTGTGAATGTTTTGCTCATCTGATTAATGGTATGAAATATATCGGTATGTTTTATCAGCGTTACTGTGTACTGCCTTATTCTTACTTATCTCAGAGGAATTTCATTTGCAGTTTGGTATTATAAGAGGAGGGGAAAGGGGGTTGAAGGGGCAAATCAAAACAAAGCAGCAGCTTGCCCTGGTAAAGTAGGTGATAAAAAATTCTGGAAAGCATGAAGGACCTTGAAGCAAACCACCTCCAGCAAGGCACCAGATTCTTTGTGGGAAAAGGATGAGGATGACACCGATGAAAAGTACCTAGAGTAAGCATACAGCAATAGGTCTGTCTTTGTAAACTTGTACACCAGCTCGTTTCAGTTTCTCAATTATTTTCTTTTATCTCCCTAACATCCTTATTTAAAGGTGTTGGAACACTAGGAGATCCTGTAAACCTCAATCTACACCACTAAATAAGCCTGTGCTCACCCAGAGGAGCATATATTTATTTCTCTACTGTGAACAGTCACAATGCCAAAAGTTACAGTGCCACTGGAGATAGCAGCAGGAGAGACTGAGGTCTTGAAGCACCCACATGTGCTGCAGAAGAACCATCCCAGAGCAGTACTGACTATCTCCTTACAGCTGAGTGAGATGGCAGTGAAAAAATATTAATTATAACAACTGTCTATGAAAAGGTGAAGTTCTAACAACAATAATAATTTTTTTAAAAAGCTGTTACATTAGACTGAGATTACAGTTGGATGCCATTTCCTCCTAGTTTTTATTCACAGTATACATAAATTAGGGTAGCAAAAAACTATAGAAATCCTTTGGCACTATCTGGACAACAATGAACTGTCTTTCCTACCAGCTGCAGGGTTAATTGATCCTGATTACGTCCAGATCAGGGAATCTAGGAAGGCTGTTAAAATGCTGAGCCATTATTCTGCTCCATAGCTCTAGCATCTCACGCTTGCAAAGGTACGTTTTTCAGGCACCCATGGCATTGCTTGTATAAGCATGTTCTGACATAGGTAGGAGGAAGGTTGGTGCATTGGACCTACATAATAACTTTAAACATGGCAGAGAACATGGACATGGCATTTGTCTTGATGGTAATTAAAAAAATTGCTGATATGAAATCTCAGTGATTCATGGATACGTTGTGTTCACAGAAAAGCATCTAGGATACTTTTAACATAATACTTATGGGAAGTATTGTCTTTTCAGATTTTTTTGCCTCAGATATTTTGATGGCATGCAGACTTGGCATCATGCTAAATAGAGACATTGAGCCTTTATAGTTTTATCTCTTGAGTCCATCTGGTTTGAAGTAGTTGACAACAAGCAGGAAAGGGAATAGAATGAAAGACTCACTTCATGTTTGCTGAAATAAAAGAAATGTGTAAGGGAGTGCTCAAATAAAATCAGCCTGGGAGGAAGGCCACTGGACTCCCCTCTCACACCCCTCCTCTGCCCTTTTAAGATGATTGGAACAGGACGGCTTTGCCTGCAAACCCTCCACTCTCAACGCTAGCTCTGACTGTGCTGCTGTCAGGCAAGCTGGAGCACCGAGGGAGAAGCGGAACTGTCTGCCCTCCCGGAATGAAGGACAATGGGAGCCCTAAGCAAGCAGAGTGAAAAAGCAAACACAAAAGCAGAGCCCTTGTCCATCAGTCAAGCTAAAACCATCGAAAAACTAATAGTGCAAACACCTCACACGAAGGTGCTTCAGTAAGTTTTACATGTTGTTTATTCTGGTTTTAACTTCCTTTTGCAATTTACAGATACAGCCCAAGGACTTCAGTCTGAGCACCTGGGCGCTCGTGCAATTGCCCACATTACAGGCAGGTACAGAACACAGCAATGGCCCTAGCAGTGTCCTGCCCTGCCCACTGAAACACCCCGTGGGTTAGTTACCAGAACTTCAGTGAGAAGTATTTGGTTGCAGGAAAACATACCCTTTCCTTCACTGCCTACCAATGACCACTACAAGCTGTTCATACAGGAGCCACAAAACTCTGTAACTAGAACTCAGGCTAGAGCAGACGCTAAAGGGCACTTGTTTTCTCAATGAGGCACACTGTATGAAATGTTCATCCTCTCACAGAGGTGATGAGAGGCTAGCCTTTATCAGCTACAAAATCACTCCAGGAGCATAAGGTGGAAGTTGCTATACAAGTTTGCATCATTTTACACCATGTAGCAGCTAGCATTGAAAAATGCGTATGCTCTCTTTCCCTTTATGCTGTTTCATCTCTTTATAGAATTAGGTCCTAAATATGATTTTTCTGGCTTTTGTTCTTAATCACTTTGTTACTAGTTCTAATTTATAATTTTAACCTAAATAGAAGTGAGTGATTTATTGTAATTATTTTGTATAGGCTGCTCTTCATAAACTTTTTTTTTAAATCTGGAAAAACATTTAATTTCCCATATGGAAAGAACACATTTATCATACTTTACTCGGATATACTTGGCCAACTATTGCACATATATGCAAAACATATGTGACATATTCAAGGCTGAATTTCATAAAACAGAAATGCTATGAAATGTGATATAATAAATATATTATACAGACATATGTGGCCAATTTATAAAGCTATGATATCTTTGGTAAATTTATAATAGGTCATTTCTATTAATGGGGGGGGAATGAGTGCATTTTTCTAGCATATGTAACACATACAGTACCTTACATAGTCTTCCTGAAGGGAGGCGGACCTCTGAAAAGCAGATTTGTACATGTACATATACAGTGTATATGGGACATGTCTATATTTTTCAAAATTAACATATAACTCCAAAACTAGCTCTTGCTTTTTGCATTGATACAACATGCAGTACAACATACTGGGGGGAAAAAAAAAAAAGGTATTAAATACTATTCTTGGAAATTACCAAACCTTTGATGCAGTAACTAGATTCCCACAGTCAGTGGGTGTCTCATTTTAATAGAGAGCACATTTTATAAGCACACACTGTGCTCGTGCTAATGGCTAGCAACTGAAATATTTGGGTACGACTGCTTTCCTCTAGTTGTGTCAAACACTCATGTAAATTAAATATCTTACTAATCAATTGAATTAGAAAAATCAAGGGGAAAAAATCGATACGTTTAGAAAAAAGTTGCATACATGCACACATACAAGCTGCTACACTAGTAAACTGGATTCTTCATAATACCAGTTTATAGCAATGGCTGAATTATTGCTGGCTGATTATCCTCAAATTGTAAGCACAGATTGCTGTTCTTCCTTATTGATGCCTGTGTACTTCAAAGATCAAATCCTTGCTTTACAAAACAAATCTATATTTTTCTCTCAGATTGCCTATTTACAAGCTCTGGCAAGAGCTCTCTCAGGGCTCCCTTTCTGTGTGCGTGCAGCCTGGCCCGTGCGATGCCCAGCTCTCCCCTCCGGAGGGAGCCTGCTCTTCAGGGCCGGCGAGGCGCGTGTGCCGCGGGCTCGCCCCCGGGACCGCTCTGCAGCGGGGGCACACGCCCCGCGGGATCGCGATACAGCGGGGGCACACGCCCGCCACTGCACCCAGTGCCAGCAGTAACGCGTTTGTTTTCAACCCATCACGAAACCGAACCGCACATACTCTTTCCCCCACCCGCCACCCCAGCCCTGTTCAACCCGCTCACAGCAACTTTTTGAACTCCTTGGAGGAGATGCTAAAACTCGCTTCGCAAGTAGCGCTGCGCTGGCTCTCCAGCACTCCTCCCGGCAGCAGGGCTCAGCTTCCACCCCCCAAACCTAACCTGTTCCCCACGGCTATAGGGATCCCTTTACCCAGGCAGACCGTTGCACAGCACGAGTGAACCTGCTTTTCTTATTCGTTTCAGACCAGACCAAGGTGCGACCGCACCTTGGCCGGGGATCCCGGCATCACAGGCTGAAATCCGCTTGCTGGAGAGAATGAGGTCTGTTTGGCAGGGGAGGACAGAGCCCCGGCTGAGGCGACCCTCAGCCACGCAGCCCCACTAGCCACGGCTCCTTGCAGGGATGCACCAGGAAGCCCCTAGCTCATGGGAGACCCACACTGTCCCCCAGTGGTCCGGCGGCTGCAAAATGCCTTTTTATGCTTACTGCATTCCTTGGGCCGTTCCCCACACTGCAAGCCACTGTTACACCGGCTGTAGCATGAAGGAAGCCAAAGGACTTGCTCCCCTGGCACTGGCTGTGCGTATGCACACTTGAGATTGACTGAAGTGATGCCAACGCCCCCGGATGCTCAGAGGCACCTACTGGGGACCACCTTCACAGTTCCACCCAAAGCAGTTCAAGGGTGTCCCTGAACAGGAGGAAAGATTACAAAGAACATCTGTAACGCGTGTAAATGGTGTGCATGAACACTGCAAGCACACAGAAATCTCATCCTACACTGAATTTAGTCATATCCATTAGCGAGGAAAAAATAAAACCAACAATAACAAAAAAAAATCCTGAAAACCTGAGCTATCCCTAGCATTTGTGATAAGTGATCAAGTAAACACCTGTGGGTGCCTAACCCTGTATTTAAACACTGAGGTAAGTGATGCAGTTTTCAGACCTTTGGAGCAATCAGTAAATTCAGCCTGTACCTCTGAAAAATGGAGCCACATGGCTAATTTATTCTCTAGACCCGTTTGGAAGAGACAAAGGGTGCTTGTAACCTCTGTGCTTGGGCCTGTTTTATCATCAGCTTTTAAATACACAGTGTTACATGTGACTTGAGGTGACTATAAGTGGAAGTATTGTCTGGAAATGCTGCAGCCTTCTTTCCAAGTATGTGCCATGGACCTTTGTGACAGCATGTACTGAGTGAAGTTTAAACATACATGTAATCAAATCATACAAAGTCACTTGTCAAATGAAACTGCAAAACATATAGATAAGGCATGGCCTATACATGATATATCTTGACTAAGTGGCTGACAGGTAACATAAAATTAAAGTGTTACAGATTTTCTGTGATTTTCAAAAGGCTTCTACTAGTCACTATGCAGAGTTCTGGGGTTTTTTGTTTGTTTGAAGTGGATTTCTTGTTGTGATAGAAAAATAACCCTGCTTGCTTTCCATATCTGAAACATCCCCATCCAGTGAGATGGACATATGCAAGGAGGAAACACCAGTCAAAGCCCCAAAGCAGCTTGGTTTCACGACCAAAACACGACATGAAACGGACTGCTAACATGCTTAATACTAACATATATAAGCACCTTGCATGTTGATGGCCTAAAAGCAAGGTTGGAAATACCATTTTCATAGTTAAAACTGTAGTCTTGATACAGCTGCATGATCTCTCCTTCCCATTCAGACACAGGACTTCTGTAGTGGTTCTTCTAGCACAGATAGACTAGTGATCCTGAGGGCCTGCTGCCCGCAGCCATAGGTTTAAGCTCTGTGATTTTCTCTTCTTCTGATGGAGATAAATTAAAATTCCTACAGTCAAGGCAAGGACCTCAAGCCACTTTCTGTAAGAGCACAGTTTAGTCCTGGCATCTTTCTTGTGTCATGCAGTCCTCTCGGCTCTTGTGCAATAAAGTACGTTTGAAAAGGTGTGTGGCCAGTCTGCAGAGAGCCAGCGCACGTCTTGCTGCACTCTAGGTATGTTCAGAAAACCAGGTGCTTACCAACACAAACAGAAGTGTACAGTATCCATTTCAACCTGGGATCCCAACCCTGAAAGGGACAGATCACTACAACCATGGGCAGCTCCGGCAACCAGGTTGAGAAGGGAGGGAGCAATCACCTATGGGGATTCCCTATTTGCACAGACTAAACAACTCCAGTTTAGCATCCCTCCTTATTTAAATTACCTCATTTTGTAGGGGAGGTTTAGACTTCAGAGCAGACAAACTGACAAATACACACAAATAATCAATCAAGAAATGAAAGAAAGAAAGAAGAGGAAAAGCATTTATAAATGTCACTGTCCAATGTCTTTTCAATTTAAATGAAATAAGATTATCTACATATATCTACAAATATCTACATATATCTACACTGTTTGCAGATATGATTCTTTGGTTGTCTTCACTTTTTTCCTACAATGCAACTTATCAAGTGAAAAAAAAAAAAAGTGTGTAATCTTTGAAAGAAATAATAAATATAACAACTTCATTAAACGTTTGACCAAAGCTTTGGCACTAATCAGTTTACAGATAACAAATCATACTGAAAAATCTGAAATAATAGCGGCAAAGCAACAAGGCACATCCAGGAGCCGTTTCCCACTGACTAATAATAAGCACAAGGCTATTTTACATCAACCTTGCTGAGAACATTAGTTATGGTTTACTCAGACACTAAGAATCTCACAATTCACTGCAAATGTCAAATAAAATACATATTTCTTTCACAAGTCTTTTTCATGGATCCAGATATATTTTTTTTATAACAGACAAAAAAAATACATAAAATATTCATGTTAGCCTGTATCCCTTCTTACACCCTTCCATAAAGTTTTGGAAGCCCAAAGCCCACTGCCAGAGATGAAATAAACATTGCTGCTAACACTGCCACCTGCACAAGGGAAAGATTATGTTTTAAAAGTTTTGTAGGGAAAATGTACAAACATGGATGAATAGAGGACTTCAGAAACAAAAAACCCTCTTTCCATAGAGTCACTTGGAAGAATCAGAAAAGTGTTCATAATACTGTATACCAACTGAGGAGCTGTTCAATACCTTCTCTGAACACAAAGGGACTGCTATTCAGTGAGCATCTGACAAAACACACAAGCCAACTATTCAAAACACATCACTAGAGAAATTGTGATGAACGGGCCCATCTTTTCAACAATAAGGAAAGTGTAGTCTTTCTACTACTTTCTAAGATATTACGGCAAAATATATTAAAGGGAAAAAAAAAAAAAAAAAAAAGACAACAACTACTTACCAGCTTTAAGAGGGAAGATGCAGCAAGCAGGTAGGTGTAGAATAGGTACTTTGGGATTACTGCGGTTTGGGTCAGCCAAATATAAGGGGTGAGGCATTCTGGGGAAAAAACCCTGAAGTCCCTCTATAAGGCACTTCTCAATGGGAGAGCATCAAGAGCTCAGGAAAGGATGTAGGAAGGCAGTACTGTGAGGCTGCCTGGGAAGCAGCCAGTTTACAAACTATTGCTGAGAATACACAGTTTAAACTCTGCAGGTATTCCCCCCACCCCTAAACTGGTTTTCAAACCTTAGCTTCCACTGTTGTGAAAACAAGAAGCTGGACATAGCTGTGCTCTTGGCCATAGGCTCTTCTCAACAGCTCAGAAAATGCTGTTGTGGTTAAGTTGCCCCGGTGAACCCCAAAACTCAGGAGCAGGGCAGGACTGGAGGAGAAGTGGACAATTTGTTCTGACCGTGAAGATTCAAAGTGTTCCCTTAAGCTAAACTCTGCCTCCTCTAACAGCCTCCTCGAAGAATCACCTGAGCCAACTGTGAACGAGGCCAAGCGTCCCCGAGGTAAAAAAAGACTTCCACGTGTGCAGAATTACGCTCCATCCCTAGGGCCCGCTGCTACCGGGGCTGGTGTCCGCCGGTGCTGAGGGCCAGCCCCACAGCCCTCCCTGCTTCATGCTAACGTTACACGTCCCGCTGAGCTGGGAAACACCCGTGCACCGGCCGAACTGGTGGCAACACCAGAACTCCATCAGAAAACCCGGCGGGAGAGAGAGAAGGGGGCAAGTCACCTCACCGCTGCGGCTTCCCCGTCCTCCCACCGCTTCCCGGCGGCCCTACGGTCCTCAGCGCCCGGCGCAACGGTGGGGCACCCGCAAGATCGGAGTCGCGGAGGTGGGGAGAAGGGAAATAACGACATATGGCTTCATTTATCAAAGTGCAGCTGCGGGTCACACCGCGATGGGCAGCACCCGCCAGCCCCTCGCCGCACGCCCTCACGGCCCGCCGGCGCGTGGGGAGTGGACGAAGGGGGCCCCGGCTTCCTGCGATTGGGCTCTCCAATTGTCGATCAGGTCAAGCTGGCCTACCAGCGCACTCTTAAGGCGGGAAGAGAGGGAAAGGCGGGAAAGGGGTGGAGGGCGGTAACGTCGCGGCACGCGCGGCTGCCGCCCAGTCTCTCGCGCCGTCGGCGGCTCCGCGAGGGCGTGCGCGGCGCCGTTATCTGGGCCCGTAGTCGTAGTTGGCGGGCGCGCCGGCCGACGAGTACATGTTGGCGGCCGCCGCTGCCGCCGCCGCGTTCATGTGGTGGTGGTGGTGGTGGTGGTGGTGGTGGTAGCTGTGCCCGCGGATGCTGGGGAGGGGGTAGGGGGCGGGCCGGCTCTTCGCGCCCAGGTAGTGGTCGTAGGCGGCGGCCGCCGCCGGCGGGTACTTGTAGGGGTGGTGGTGGAGCGGCTCCGAGGCTGCGGGCTCCAGGCGCAGTTCGTGGTGGGGCGGGCTGGGCCGGCCGCCGCCCGCGCCGCCCAACGGCACCAGGCCGCCGCCGCCACCCGGCAGCGCGGGGCTCAGCACCCGGGACATGAGCTGCTGGTGCGCGGCCTCGGCGTGCAGCGGCGTCCCGCCGGCCGCCTCCCGCTCGTACTCCCGCCGGCTCTCGGCAGCATCTGCGGGGGCACACTGCGTCAGCGCCGGCGGCGGGCCAGGCTTTAAACCACGCGTTTAAATAAATAAATAAATAAATAAAGGAATGAAAAAAGCGGTGCGCACAGAGAAGAGCGAGGCTTGCAAGTGAAGAGTGCGGCAGAGTACAACAGGAACCGCGGCTTGTGGGACAGGGCCCTCCGACTGTGATAAATGGAGCTGGATTGACTGACAAGCTGGTACACGCCTGAAATTTTTGCAATTGTGTAACACTAAACAAATACAGACTTCCCTTTATTTTGCAGGCCCGGAGTGTGCTGGAAGAAAGGCTCTCGGTTGCCTTTGCAGTTATTTGCGTAATGGAAAAGGAGTCAATGGGCAGAGGTGCTGTTCGACCTGACTGCAGCTCCTGAATGGGAGCGGGCCGGCCCGCAGCGCGCAGCCGAGGCGCGTTAAAAGGGCAATGCGAGGGGGAGCCAGCAGCCCTCTCTGCAAAGCTGAGCTTGCTGCCGAGAAGCCGAAAACGGGACACTAAAGGAAAAGGGTGGCGTTTTTAAAGCAGCAAAGTTGCCTAAGCACAACAACAGTGAGTGGTTTAGACTTACAAAGAATGAATTAGGCTACAAAGGTGGCTATTTTTGTTTAAAAAATAGGTGATAGCGCAAAGATTGTTAGCAATGGAGCTGTACCCGCTGCAGGCGGCTGTGCACCAGCACGGCGTGCAAGGCTGGCCCCAAGCATGCATGTGCAGAGGCTGGCCATGCAGGCCAGCAGGTCCAGGCTGACAGGCTGGCCCAGCCGTTGGGGGCTCTCACCTTTCTCTGTTCCATTCTGGTGGGCTGGGGAAGAAACTGGATTCCGGGATCTGGCAAAAGCACTCATGAGAGGAAGTGCCCCTGGCCTGTGATTCCTGGGCCTGGAAGAAGACAGGGAGAAGTGATACAGTGCTGATGGTCCAACAGAATCAACACTTAAAGAATTTGCTGCTGGCAAACGGGCCCTGACCCGGTGTTCCCTGAACTCCATGCAAGCCTTGTGCAGATATAAGCTGGGCAGGTGCATGCTAAACTGGGGGTGAGAGCGAGGTGTAGTCGTAGTCAATAAAGACACAGCCTTACCAGTCCTCTGGGTCACAGTCTCGGAATCCCTTGGCGAAAGGGTTGCTGGCAATCTTCAGCTGCGTGATCTGTAAAGACAAGGGGGAAATGTCTCAGAGCAGCATACGTGGGGCTCCCTGGTGGGCCAGTCCCGTGTCTGACTCCCCTGTCCCTCAACAGGGGTTGGGAGTCCGCGGTGCCTGGTGTAACAGAGAAGGCCCAGGTGGCCACAAAGTGCAGACGTGCTTTCCCTCTGTTAGAAAATGTGGGCTGGTACACTATCTAATATGAGCTCAAGGCAAAGGGGGAGGCAGCCTGAGTCGACTGCAAAAGCTGTGTAAATGCACTTGCAAGAAAATGCCACATTATATGGGTCACCACCAGAGCAGCTAAGACAAATCACTGGATAAATCATACTTATGTATTTATTTAATTCGCCGGGGAGAAGGCAGGACATTTTCTATATTTAAGCAAATCCACGGATAAAGTATGTGATTGTGAGTTTCCGGAATGGGTTGAAAAACAAACTTTAAGCCCCTCAGTGACAGTTCCAGCCTTAGAGGTCAAACTGATAGAAAGCAGGAGAGAAAGAGCAGCTGTCCGGAGCCATCAGGCAAATGCCAGCCGGGGAGGGACTCCGGAGCCCCTTAAAGGCACAGCCTTGCTCCGGCCCTGCCGCTGCTCCGTGGAGGGCTGCTGGCCCCACCGCAGCATCCCGGGGGGATCCTGGGTCTATTTGCTCAGAGTCACCGTAGGGGTGGCACTGCCACCAGCTGCTGGGGACAGTCCCAGGACCCAGCCCTAGCGAGGGCTGTGGCATCAGCAGCCAGCAAGGCAGTTTGGAGCAGCGCTGAAAAGCCCCGGCTGTGAAATCGTATTTACACTGGCGGCTGGGGTTCTTGCTCTTTACATTACACAGATGTGATTTAAAGAAGCAATTGGATTAAATGCTACCCCGAAATCCACATCAGATTAGGGGGGATGGGTTGTTTTGTTTCGTTTTGTTTCGTTTTGTTTCGTTTTGTTTCGTTTTTTTAACATATAACAGTATTCTGGGGAGGAACAGACCGCTGTGAGCTTAGAGAAGTAAAAATGCAGATTTATCCAAACAAATTGTGAGTGATATGTCGCAGAGGGAAGCCTGTAGTTTCCCAACGAGCCCCGGTCTCGGGTTTACATAGGTAATGAGGTCCCCTCGGGCGGGGGGAAGCTGGCGATGAGGCTGGAGCTCTCGGAGCTTCCTCGATGTGCAGCGAGGCAGCTCCACGCAGCTCCCTGGCTATCGGGTTCCTTGCACTGCCCCGGAATGGGTTTAGCAGATGGGGAGGAGGAGGCGGGAACACCCCCAGACACCTCCACCACTGCCGGACACCCGGGGCCCGGGAGCCAGCGCCGGGTGCACCTGCGCCCGTGGTGCCTGCCGGGGGGTACCCCAACCCCCACTTTTCGTTGCCCCGAGCCCTGCTGCTGCCTCACCCGGTGGTTCTGGTAGGCGGTCACGGCCGTGAAGCGCGTCTCCTCAAAGACAAAGGTTTTGAAGTTCTCCTCTGCGTATTTCTCACTGTCTTTCCGGGGGTCCACGTAGACCACGTGAAAACGTGGCTGGTATCTGTGCATGGAGTTCAAAATGATCTGAATGATAAAATGAGCAAGGAGACAATAACTGATCCAGGCGGAGCATCGAGAGAGGAGAGCGCAGCCCCCGGCCCTGCCGGCTCCCCTGGCCGGGGGCAGCCGCGGTGCTGGGGCAGGACGGGGACGCAGGGCCCTTGGGGAGGGGCGCGGGCAGAGGCACCCCACGGGAATCACAGCGCAGGGAGTTCCCCCCCTGGTGCAGCCCTGTGTTTGACACCTTCCCCTGGAATCACTTACATGCCCGTTGTCATCCAGCAAATTGTTGGTCAGTTTGAGCTTATCGAAGGAAACGATCTGCTTCATCCACTGCGCCCCTTTCGCCGGGGAGTCCGGGTGGTAGTGCACCCTCCCGGGGGTGGCGGGGTCGGCCTTGCCAGCCACCAGCCAGGAGGAACTGTGGAAGGCATACCTGTCGGGAGGGGAAGGCACCCTCAGCTGCGGCCCTGGGGGTCCCCACCACCACCCCCTGCAGCAGCGCCCCGCGGGGCTGCAGCACCCCACGGGCCCGCAGGATCTGGCCCGGGAGGGTCCCCCCGGAACGGCGAGGGGGAAGCGCCGCCCCCCCCCATCACTCTCGCTTCCTACGGCAACGAGAGGAATGAGCTCTTCTCAACAGCCAGGCTCGTTGCAGGAGGGAAAGAGTGTTTTATCAGGTTGCCGATGGAACTGGCATGAGAGAAATCTGCAGGGCGGGGGAAATTTATAGCTACCTGCACAGGTTTGAGAGAGAAGCCACAAAAGTTCTCCCTCTAAAAAAACAGGGCAAAACGGAGCCCTCTATGCAATAATGTTCTGGCTTTAAGTGAAGAGTGGAAAGTTATGTGTAGATTAATAGCAAGTCCACAGTTTAGCAGCCTTGTTTCATTCTTTCAAAGTACATATTCAACAGTAACATTTAAAACAGAGAAACCAATCTTCTATACACGTGTTTACTTTAAAAGCCAGTGTTTGCACAAGGGGAATTAGACACCATTGGACTCGAGCAGAAACATTACTTTTTAAAGATATACTCAATTGGATGTTATATATCCCACTTCCCTTGACAAGCAAACATTTCTAGGACGCCCTGAGAATTTGGATATCTGTCTAAATATTTATATATCGGACCATGCGATTCCTACACGGGCTGCCTGCTCGGCGTCCTGATCTGAAGCTAAATACATAATGCGCCTTTCACTGTCTTTAATTTAAAGGGTTCCCCACCAGACCGCATCGCTGCCTTGTGAGTCGCCAGTTTCCAAGGCCTTCCTATGCTGCTGCTGGAAACAAGGGCAGGGTTTTGTGGATCGGATGATTGGTGCCTTTCCACAGCACAAAACCTGCTCTCTTCACCCAAGCGCCCAGCGGGCTGACGGGCACACTGCAGCCCCAGGACAGCCACAGGGACGGCACCACCGGGCCACCTGCCCTGGCCAAGAGGCTACAGCACTTGAGGAGCACCAGAGGGATTTTTGTAAGTGGGTAACAGGCATTTGCTGGGTGGAGACGTGGAGCAATGGAACAGGGAGGGTTTTTGTGGGCAGCACAAGGCGGCTCCTGCCCTGCTGCCCCGCGGAAACCTGGCGCTTCTGCCCGCCTGTGAGCTGCTGCCAGCGTTGTGTGAAAGCCCCAAACTCGTTGCAACGGTGTGAAACAGACCCCAGGGCGGCCGCACCCCTCATCTCCCCCTCGTCTCCCACCAACAAGTCTGGGGCCCAGGGGCACATCCCTGAGCCCTGGGAGAGCAGCGACCCACTAACCCCTCCAGCACCGAGCACCGCAGGGCGGACAAGGTGTAACTTGCCGGTATCGCTTGTCGTCCACGGGGACGAAATCCATGAGGAGCATGTAGTCAGCCATAGGGTCCATCCCGAATATCTTCACTTGGAAGGTGGGGAACATGCGCCTGGCACAGAGAGGAGAGAGAGAGAAGAGCTGAATTGAGGCACAGCAGGGAGCTCCAAGGGGCCGGCGCGGTGGTTACCCGCCCCCGTCCCCAGCCCGGAGGTGCTCAGGGCCGGGTGCGGGACCCCTGCAACCTTCCCAGCCCAGTCCCTCCAGCTGCACTGGCGTACGGCCGGTTGCGGTGTCAGGTCCCCTCACAGGAACCACCGGCTGGAACGGGAAGAAAAGGCAGATGTGGCTGGGCAGCGTGGGGAGGAGGGCTGCCGTGTCCTCCGGTCCCCGGCAGCATCCGGAACGACGGCCCGGGGCAGCGCTGGGCAGCCCTGCCTCTCTGTCGGCTCCGGGACTGTTTGCGCCAGCCAAAGAAATGCCCCACCACGGTGGGACGCAGAGGCTAGGGCGGGGGAGCGAGGGAAACAAGAGCCACTGACACCTTTGCCATGGGGAGACACAAGTGAAAATAATTTCCTCTCCACAGTTTCCCCATCCTTTCAGCTTCCCTGATCTGAGGCAGATGCACGGAATTAACCCCTATCTGCACCCACACCTGAGCCGGGAGCAGAGTCCCGGGAGGCTCGGGCAGCCCGGGGGGGGCATGTCTAGAACCTCCTGAGGGGCAATGTGAGGGGACTGAGCTCCCACTTGTGCAGATTCTGCCTCCCTAAACCTGTGTCCGTTTTAAAGCAGCGGTTAGCAGCAATGTGGTCCCTGGGGCCAGCGGGAGATCTCCCGCAGCCCGGAGGGGCAAACACACCCCCGCGGCGAGCAGGGACTAGAGGGCAACGGGAATCTCCCGGGGATTCCCCTCCCAGCTGGAGTTCGTTCCCAGAGCCCGGTCGGGCTCTCGGTCCCCTCACCTTTGAAGGGAGAAAGGAGATCGGGAAGGAGCCCGGGGCTTCCGGGCGGGACAGGTCGGTCCCCGGGGCTGTCCCCACTGTTCTGCCCCGGGGACCCCAGGCTAAGCAGGCGGCTTGGGTCCCACTCTCAGGGAGAGCACAATTCCTTTGAGGGGCTGCGGGGCAAATGTGATCGAGGGTTGGCCAAGGGAAAGGGCCGGGGCGTCCCCCCTCCTTCCCTCTGTACACACCAGGGTCAGGGTCCAGCCTGCGGCTCCCTGGCGGGACGCGCCGAAGATGTGCCCTCGCATCGGGGCTCGTTATGGCTTCGGTTTTGTTTGATTTTTTATTTATTTCCTCAAGTAGGAAAGCTCGAGTAGGAATGAGAGCGGGCGGCATTCCGGGAAGCCGTTGAAAAACTAAACTACTAACACCCCCTTAAAAAAACAGCCCGATCAAACCGGGACATCGAGAGCCCCCCCTGGCTCATTCTCGGGGCGCATGGCCGGACCTGCTGTCCGTCTTCTCGGGGCTTTTTTGGTTGTGTGTCACTTCTTCGCTGCCGAGAAAAGGCTGCCTGTCAGGGAGATTGGGGCAGCGGGGTTCTGGTCCCGCAGCTCCTTCCAGTCCGGGGCCCGGCACTGCCAGGCAGCATCAGGCTTGGGCGGCTGCGCCTCCCTCTCTGTAACGCTTTAGCAAACTTTGGAGGACATTTCCAATCCCTCTCTCTGTTATTATTATTTTTAAAGGTGTAAAAGCCCCCATTAGCTCCAGTTCCGGTGTTTCTTCTTTTAAAACTCAGTTTTAAAACAAACAACTCGAAATGATAAGACCCACCTAGACAAACAGCAGGGCCAGCCCAGAGGCGCTGGGAGAGAACAGGCTTCGCAGAGCCTTCCCTAAGACTTTTCCTGCTGGTTTTACCCCATTTTCTCCTGTTTTTACTCGCCTGTCTGGAGATTTGTCGGTGTCATAAAATAAACGAAAAGGAGGGGCAAAAAGCCCCTGATTCAATTCGAGTTGGTTCATTTTCGAGCCCTTTTGGAGTGGGGTATTTACAATCCTTTCGCTGTCCCGGGAGAGCGAAGAGCGCCAGAGCGAAGAGCTCCTGTTTGCAGAGAGCCTCCGCCTGGAGCCTGAACGGCCTTTTCCGCTAAGGAAAGCACCGCCGAGCCCGGCGCCGGGCTCCGGGGCCGCGGCCGGAGACAGCGGGCTGCGCGACCCGGCGCCGGGGCAGGGACCGTCTGCGGGAAATCACTCCCGGGCTCCCGCAACTCAGCGCCGGCCCCTCCGCCTGTCGCTTTTCCACCGAGCACCGCGGTGATTTTTTTTTATATTAGCAAATTGCTAATTTAAAAAAAAAAAAAAAAAAGGGGGGGGGCAACTAGATGAAATTTTTTTTTTTTTTTTTTTTCATCTTCGGGATCCTCAAAACCTCTGCAGGGAGAGCGGGAGCGCACGGCCGCGGTCACCGCTTTTGCTGGGCCCTTTCGGAGCGGATCCCGAGCAACCGCGCTGCGCCCCTTTCCCCCCGGCGACGGGGGCTGCGGCAATCTCGGGGCTCCAGCTGCCGCCGCTGCAGCCATCCCCGGAGCTAACTGAGAGCGAGCACCAGGGGATTCGTTAATTTGTTTGGTTTGCTTTTCTCTTCCCGCCGCCGAATCGCCTTAAATCAAGGGAAGAGACCAGAGCCCGAGCAACGCTCCTGCCTCCCGCCCCACAGCCGAAGGCAGCTCTCGCCCGGAGCCTGCGCGGGGAAATCCCGGCAGCTCTGCCCGAGCCGCCGCGGCCACGCCGCTTCCCGGAGATCGCATTTAAGTGTACTAATTAACAACCGTAACTGGGACTCCTTTTCCTCCCACACGCTTTCCTCGTTTCTAACGCGGTGGCATCAGCCGCTTCCTTTGTTCCCCGGCCGGGAATGGGGTCCCTGTCCCCGCCCGCCGAGCCGAGCCGCCGGCGGAACCGCGCCGTGGCGGCCGTAGCAAGGCCGAGGGAGAGCCGGGCTCGTAACGCAATAGTTGGAAAATGCAACGCTCCTAGAGGACGTCTCAAGGTGCAGAATTGGGGTCTGTTTGCGTCCCCACCGGAAGGAAAATACCTGCCCGTGCTAAAAATTTATTTAGTTACAGGTATTGCACGGGTTGGTTTGTCAGCTTTTTCTTCCCGCCCTGTGCCGTTGCTGTCCGCCCCGTGAGCAGTGTCCTCCGCAAACACGGATTTAAGTCCCCGTGCGGGGTAACCGAAAGCCGACGGCGCCCGGCGGAGCACAGCGGGAGGGAAACCCGGCGACGGAGCGCACGGTGCGGCTGCCCCGGGCCTGGCCGGGCCGCCCTGCCCGCCGCCCCCAGCCCGCAGCAGTCGCGCGTTGTGCCCCGCAGCACCCGAGGCCTTCGGGCATTAAGAGCTCGCAGATTCCACTCGGGGAGAAGCGCTAGGATCAAATGACGGCAACCGCCGGGCCTGGCCGCCCCGCAGCTCGCCCTTGGCCAGACTCGATTTTCCCCCCAAAGCGCGAATTTAATCGCTTCCAGCCGGGCCCATGGCCGGGCACTCCCGCCCCGGCTAGCCTGGGTGCCCTCGGCCCGGGGCGGGGGAACGGCTGGAGAGCTGGGGCCGCTCGGGGACTGACCTGCCGGCCTTGGTGACGATCATCTCGGTGCCCAGCTGGTTGAACTCGTCCCACAGAGCCTTCATCTCCAGCTGGACGCTCACGTTGGCCACCTTCGGGTTCTTCTTCACCGGCGCCTTGGCCGCGGCGGCCGCCCCCGCCGAGCAGCCCGAGACGGCGGCCGGCCCCGAGGCGGCTCCCCCGGCGCCCTCGGGCGGCTCCGGGCCTGGGGGCGGCGGGTTGGCCCCAGCCGCCGCCCCGCCGAAGGGATAGCCGTGCTGGGGCTGGGGCGGCGGGTGCGGGTGCTGCTGAGCCGTGCAGGGCTCGTAGTGCGGCGGCTCATGCTGTCCGTACGGGTCCCCCGGGGAGGGGGAGAGGTGGTACCCCCCGGAGGCGTTCAGGCTGCTCAGGCTGTTGGCCGTGAAAGCTGCAACATCGCAAAAATGGGACAGCTGGGTGAGCCAGGGGCTGGAGATAGCTGAAATCATTCCAAAAACAGGCGGTCAGGGCTCCGCTCCGGCTCCCGCTTTCCCCGCAGCTCCGCGCCGCTCCGCGCGGCCCCCGCCTCCGCGCCGCGCCGCGCCGGCTCCGCGGGGTGCCCTCCGCCTCCTCTCCTTGCCCCGCGCCCAGCCCAGCGGGGCGCCTCCCCCTTTCCGCTTTCCTTGGCCCCAGCCCCGCTCCCCCCGGGGCAGGCGGGGAGCTCGCTGCTCCCGCTGCCTGCCTGCCTAGGCTCTCTTTTTTTTTTTTTTTTTTTTTTAACTTTTTTTCCTTATTTTTTTTTTTTTCTCCTTTGCAAACCCGAGAGATCTGCCAAGAACCGCGGCGGTGCAGAGTCCGTGCTATCTCTGCAGAAGGCCTCCGTCACTGCACACGATTTAGAACAAAGCAAACTCTCCCTAAACCCCCCAAAACGAAAAAAAAAATATAAGGGGGGGAACTCAAAGAAAGAAACCGGTTCTTATTTCCGTGTAGCTACGGTGCTGCAGGTAACATCCCCCGCTCTGGGGCCGCGGGGCCGTGGCTGACAGGGGAAGACGGATCTGGTTTGGTAATCCCCCCCTTCTTTTCATGCCCGATCGAGAGAGGGGGAACAGATGGGGACCAGAGCAAAGCTCCGGGCCCACGCCGAAGAGAGCCGGGACACGCAGCTCTCGGCGGCCGGCCCGAGCGGGCCCTGCGGCGCATGACAGGCCGCCCCGGGGAACGAACGGCTCCTTTGGATCCCCTCTGATGCTGAAAGGCTCCTCGAGGTCCTGAGGGTCTCTTGAGTTATTTCTGCCGCCGCCCCCCAGGACGGACAGTGGCTGCAGAGCCGGCGGGAGCCCACCGCGGCCCGCCGCTGCCCTGGGCACAGCCGGCGCTGTCAGAGGATGCTCCAGCACCTCCGAGGAGCCGCGGGTCCAAGCGGCGGAGCCGTCGGAAGTCGCCACCGGGACACGGGCAGAGACTTATTCTCCAAGGGAAGACTGCGAGGTCCCTGGCGTGCCGGGGGGGGCACGGCAAAGCTCCCTCCGACCGGCCCCGCGGGCAGGCCGTGCTCCGTGCGCTCCCCCCGGCCCTGCCGCCGGTACGGGACGCGTGAAAACACTCCCGAGACGCGGTGACCGGGGGGGTCTCGTCCCCACAGCCCTGCGGGGCCGAGCGCGGCGCTCACCTTCCATGTCCCTGGTGACGGTGCTGAAGTGCATCTTCTGCGGGCGGCAGCCGGGGCGGGCGGGCGCGCTGCGGCCGCCGCGGGGCTCCTCCAGCGCTCCCTTCCCTGCTTGCTCGGCGGCGGCGGCGACTGAAATCAGAGAGGCGATACTGAAAGCATTTGCCTTGGGAGACAGAGGGCTGTTTTCGTCCATAGAGGAGACACCAATGCAGGAGCAGCAGCCGCGGCAGCCTCCCACCACGAGCCCCCCCTCCCACCCCCTCACTCCCCTCCTTTCTACGGCACCATCCAGGGAGGTGCGAGCGAGACCCCCCTCCTTCCAGACGGGGGGGAGGGAGGTAGGGGGGGGGAGGAAAGGTTAAAAAAAAAAAACAAAACTAAACCAACAGAAAACAACCCAAACCCTCTGTGTATCCCGTCCCCCCCCCCGGGAAGGGCGTTGGGGAGCAATAAACTTCCCCGGGGCCCTTTTCAGTCAGCGCCGAGCACCGCAACGGCCGGATCGAGCCCTATTAGCGAGAGGGGACGGGGACGGGGGAAATAAATAACCCCACGAAGTTCTTCCCCGAGGTCTCAATTTCTCTCCCCCCAACTTCGTTCCCTGCGATTTATTAATTTATTTTCTCTCTTCCCTTCCCCCCAACCACCACCTCCTGCTTCTGCCCCCCCGTTCCCTCCTTTTCTTCTGCACGTAGGGAAAGTGGCTCCCTTATAGGCGCTTTCCCCCATTCAGTGGCTGGGAGGCGTCACATGGAAGCCGGGGGTGTTTGCCTGCAGAAGCGGCGGCGGCGGCGGCGAAAGCGAAGTGAAACTCCTGCCGAGACGGTGTCAAAGGGCTGGGGAGGCCCTTCCCCGCCTCCCGGGCACGGCGAGCGGCCGGCAGGGAGGGATGGGATGTGTGCTGCGGGGCGGGCGGAGGGGCCGGCGGTGTCAATCACGGCGCCGGGAGCCGGCGGACGGGAAGGGCAGAGCCGAGCCCAGCCGAGCCAAGCCCGGCGTCACGCTGCGGATGTCCGGCACCGAGCAGGGGCATTGCTCCCTTCCTCCAGTCCCCATCCACCGCGGGGCTGCGGGCTGCCTTGGCCCGGCCCCGGGGGCTCGGCGGCCGCGGGGACTCGCAGCTCGAACCGCCGCAGCAGGCGGGGGCCGGGCACGTCGGGGTGCGCTGTGGGCACAGGTACCGCTGGCCACCTCGCCGGAGCGGTTTGGAACACCTCCCCTACACCCTCCCCAGCCCCGGGCCACCAAACCCCCAAAGCATCCCCTGCAACCGGCGGAGCGGCAGGCGAGCCCAGCCCGGCGTGAGAGCCCACTCTGCCGGCAGCACCTGCACGGCCCGCCCGGGCCGGGGGCCGCTCTCCGCCGGCCGCCGGGGAGAGCCGCCCCGGTTCCCCGCTCTCTGCCTCGGCGAGGGTGAGGCGCTACTCACCGCCCGGCACCGGACCCTCGGAGCACCGCGGCGTCTCCCGGCCCCTTCCTCCGCATCGGCTCGGGGCGAGGCGGCGCGCCCGCCCCGCCGGGCCCGGCCCGGCCCCGGTCCCAGCCCCGGTGCCGGTCCCTCCGGGTGGGTGGCTGCACCGACGTCCCGGGGGAAATGTCCTGACGGGCGGGCGGAGCCGTGGGGCGCGCCGGTGGCTACCGCCGCGATGGGGGTTGCATAACCCGAGCTGATGCGCGGAGAGCCGGAGTGAGCAAGCGGGTTATATATAGCTGCCCTGTCTGTAGCCTGCGGGGCTTGATTCTTCTGTTGAAATATTATCTTTGGATGTGGTAAAAATATTTGCAGAGAAAAATCTAGACTACTCTTACATATTTGAGCATATGTTGCTGTAGCTAACGGCATAAGGGCAGAGCGTGACACGATCGGTGTTTTGTTTCTTTGCTGGTGCTAGCAGCGCGATTCCCGGCTGGGGCAGTTTCTACCCCGAGCTCAGGGACACGTCACAGAGAAGAGTGTCCCGGTGCTGACCCACGCTGCTTACCCGACAGCAATATAAAGAGGAGGGGAAGGGATTTCGTTAGGGCATCTCGGGGCAATATCGCCGGACTGCCGGGGGAAAGCGAGGAGCCGCGGGTGAGAGCTGCTCAAGGGCTGATGCAAGAGGGATGCAGGGGGCCAGCCCGTTCCCCGAGGTGTGCCCGGCTCTGGGCAGCCTCTGTCCCAGGAGGAAAGAAAATATTCCCTCCCAGGAAATTAAAAGAAGCCTCGAATCCAGCGCCCCAGCAGTGTCGGGGAGCTCGGGGTTGCTGCCCGTGCCTTGCTTGCCCTCACCGTTTCCCAGGTTTATCCCTTTCTCCTTCCCTGCTCCTTTGATAAAGCCCCAGCTGGAAGCGGCGCCACGTCGGGGGCAGCCCGGGAGCGTCCAGGCCCCGTGGTCTGTCCGCCCGCCCGGCGGGGTCGGGGCTGAGCGGTCTCTGCCGGGGCTACAGGACCCGCCGGGAATCGTTGCCCGCCGGCCCCCGGGCGGCAGCGGAGCGGCTCTCCGCCGTGCGGCGGGGCTGCAGCCCCAAGCCCCCAAATCTCTGAGGCGAGACCCCACTGCTCTGCTCCCACAACCCGTGCCCGGCCTCGCAGGCCACGCGGGGCTCCCACATGCGTGAGCGGCGCTGGGCGGAGCTGAGGTGACGAGGGTGAAACCAGCCCCGGCTCCCCCGCGATGGAGGAACTCCGCAGCGGCCGAGCAAACCCGAGGGAGCTGGTGGCACGGCTCTGTGCTGCAAACGGGGTCGCCCCCTCTCTTGCACCCCCAAAAGGGCCTAAACACAGAGGCCACGTTTGCCAGGCGTCTCGCCCAGCCTCGCGGGCTCTTGTTCCGTTCCCCGGCCGCTCCGCATCGAGGCACAGCGCATCCAGCCTCGACGGGGGGTTGCTAACCCCGCCGTTAGCGAGACTGCTCTGCCCCCGGCTCGGCAGTCGTCCCGGACCGGGGGGGAGGGGAATGGACCGAGCCCGGAGGCTATCGGAAGGGCATTAGGGAGAGGGCGAGGAGAGGTTTCTCTTCTCCCCCAGATCACACCTCGTCCGAGCAGGTGAAAGGGAAGGTCGGGGTTGTCCCGCTGCCTCTCCACCGGGAATGGGTCCACGCTGCAGAATTGCCGAGAGCTCGACGAGGAAGAAGGGCAGGAACCTGCCCCTCACTCGGACACAGATCTGCTTTGCCCCGAAACGCTCGGGCCCCAGCGGTGCAAAAGCCCGTGGCGGCATCAAGGAAAGCAACGCGTTTTAACGATTCCCGCGTTCCCCCGACGGCAGCCCCCAGCTTCGGCGCAGTCCTGGGATCCCGAGCATCGCCGCCTCCGCGTTGCTTTACCACCTTCCCCGGCCACCGCGAGGTTGCTCCCCACAGCAGGTATCCGCTGCCGCCCCCTCCCCCGTTTGGGCCCCACACACCGCAATCCCCCAGACCTTTCGGGCGAGGCGGGGGCAGACACCGCGGGCTGCTGCCTTCGTCCTCCCTCGCAGGGTTCTCCCTGCCAGCACCGCTCTCCAGGGGCCGGTCCGGGTGCCCTCGGGCTCGGACACCCCCGCTCCGCTCCAGCGCCGGGGCCGTGCTCACACCGGACCCACGGCCCTTTTGCTGCAGAGGTGCCAGGGACCCCAGGCCGGGTACCCCCGTGCACCCTGATCCCAGGCTGTGCTGCAGGTGCGCCCCGACCCCGACGGGCTTTCCCCTCGCTCCAGGGGACCGGCTGGGACACAGAGCCCCACAGCCCGCCGCCTTCTCTCCGTCCGCCCTTTGGACTCACCTCTCCGCCCGCATCTCTCCTCTCGTCCCTCCCGCGATCCCTCCTTTCTGCCCGCTCCCCCGGCCCTTGCCCGGCCCCGCTGTCCCTCCCGCCCCCCAACCCCTGCGCCCCGACGGGCCCCCGGCGAGCCCAGGCTGCGGGAGGGGGGTGGGGTGGGGTGGGGGGGGGACGCAGACTCCGCAGGGGAGCTGGGGGCGGCCCCGCACGGCCCGGCTCGGGCTTGGCACGGTAGCCCCGGCTCCCCGCTGAGCCCTGAGACAGCAAAAAACTAGCAGGAGGACAGCGGCAGCGAGCCGGGGCTGGGGTCACGAAGTCACCGCACTCCACGCACACGTCCGCACACGCTTATTTCTCCATACGCTTCCCAGATGAACAGCCCCGCGGCTGGACGCCCCGTCCTGGCTCCACGGCCGGGTCCGGGGAGGGTGAACCCCGCGGCGCCCGCGCTTCCCCGCCCGCCGCCGCAGCACCGCCCGTGCGCTGCGAGCGCTGGAAAAGAGCGGTATGGGGAAGGCGGGCGAGGCCGGCAGCGATGCTGCTGGCGAAGCAGTAATAATTCATAGAGATTCAGCTAACGGGACCCGCGGACAGTTACGGATTCGTTGTAAGGGGGGAGATAAAGAAGAGACCGTGGAGATCTCTGCAGGTGAAAAAAGCCTGCAGTTCCCGCGGGTCCCGGCAAAAACGAGGGTTTTCTGGCGTTTAATTTGAGAACGTTATCGATGAGTACTGTTATTATAATTACAGTAATTCTCGTTATCACTCCGACTATGGCGACTATTAGCGTTATTTTGCAACTGACGTTTGAAGTATAGGAACCGAAATTAACGAATCTAACAAATACACAAATCAAAAGTGTTAACAAAGTTTCACCAAGAAAGAAGGACAGAAAGAAAGTAGGGCAAGACCGACAGAAAAAAGAAGAACGAAAGAAAGAAGAAAAGAAAGAAACAGACGTAAAACCAGAGAAAGAAAGAAATTAATAAAAGAAGGACAATAGAAGAAAGATTAGCAAAAATTAAAAGAATGAGAAATAACAGGATGGAAAGAGAAAAGAAAGAGGGAAAAAAAGGAAAGAAAGAAAGAAAGAAAGAAAGAAAGAAA